TACACAACGGGTCCAGGAGGCAGAATGGTGGAGGGTCGCGGGCAGGTGGGTGGTGCGTTCTGAAGGTTGCGTGGAGAGAGCTTCCCAGTGAACTGGCATGAAGAAAAGTATCAGCCAGATGATGGTGCCGTTTCCGGAGGCGGGGAAGGGTGCATGGAGGAGCCAGCAGAGCTTGGAAGGAAGTCAGGGCCTGTGTCTGGGACATGGCAGGGCTGAAATGTCACGAAGACAGCAAATGGAGTGATCGACTGGCGACCTTGGTGTTTGAGTGGGAAGCCCCCGTCCCTCCATCTAACCTACCTCTCAGGCCAGGCCACTAGGGATAAAACACACACAGGTCCCTGGTAAGGAGGAACACAGGGGACGGCACCCCCTGGGCCCTCTTGGAGAACCTGTCCTTAAGTAGGCCGGGCAGAGGTAGAGCCCCTGCTGGTTAAGGGACCCCTGCCCCCACACCAACCCAGCTGTGCAGAGTTGCCTTGGTGAGGGGGGTGTGTGTAGCACCATCTTCATGTCTGGGCAAGGAGCTGGAGGAACCCTGCCTGCCTCGGTTCAGACGTCTCTACTGCTCCCACTCACTGCAAATCTAGAGTGATCAGCTTCCAGGCTCTCGGTATACTCCACATTGCTAAAGTCAGGGGTTCAGGGTGACTAGGAAGGACTGAAGGGCTGGGGTCAGACTTGAAGATACATGTTAAATTGCTAATAGTCTGATTCTAGAGGTATCAAAGTCCCTTTGTGATCCAGTGAGTTGTTCCCAGACCCAGACCAGACACCACTGCAGGAAGGAAGCTGGGCAAGCAGCGTGATAGTAACCAGCTTTCCAGGCAGGAAGGTCCCACAGGGTTGCTGCACTGCCTTAGGTTGATTAAGCTGCGTCTGAGTCCACCATGTGACATCTCTGCCCTCAAGCCTGGGCTGCTAAAGGAAAAACACCAACTAAAAGGATGGTGTTTGATTTCAACTGGGAGGGTGCTGCCTAGCACGCCTGTGTTTTCCATCACCTTCCACTCCGTTACCTTCTATGTCCATCCCAAATGCTCGACCCAGCACTTTGGGAAACTGAGGCAGGAGGACAGCTTGACCCTAGGAGTTTCAGACCAGCCTGGGCAACAGAGCGAGATCTTATCTCTACAAAAAATCAGCAAAAATTAGCCGGGCATGGTGGCATGCACCTGTAGTCCAGTTACTTGAGGGACTGAGGTGGGAGGGTCACCTGGGCCTGGAGGTCAAGGCTGCAGTGAACTGTCATTGCACCACTGCACTCCAGCCTGAGTGACAGAGTAAGACCCTGTCTCAAAAAAACATTATTGGGTGAGAGCAACCTAAACTTGTTCCCTAACCACTTACAATGTATCCCTTTCTCCTTCATCTCTCCCGTCCCAGTCCCTCTCACCTGGCTTCCATCTCTCCTTTCTGAATTTGCTTCCTCTCAACACATAACCCTGCACAAACCTCTCTCATTTTAAAAGCAAAAACCCCTCCCTAAGTCCACATCATCCCCTACCCACTTCTTGCCTCTGGCCAGCCTTGCTTCCTGAATGAGAACTAGTCTACGCAGTGTCCGTATCTTCCCCTCCCACTGGTATTTTACAGTTCTATCATACAGACACATCGTTTAGAGCCAATAGTCATGTAAGACACCTACCAAAAAGCCCCTCCACCTGCCCATTCCCTCTCCCAAAAGGAAACATTTAGAAATCTTTCTGCTGAGTGTCTCAGTGTGTGTTATGTGTCTCCAAGATGTCTCTAAATGATGGGCTTGCGTGGGCTTCTGCTTCCATGTTTGAGTTTCAGGCGCTGTAACTGACTTCCTGCCACAGAGGCTGAGATTCGGCTCGTTCACGCCACATGTGCACACAGCTCCTACCTGCAGTGCACGCTCACCCTTATGAAGGCCACAAAAGCAGGCACACTCCACTGAATTGGCGAGGTCGGGGGTCAACTACAGTTCTCTCCTGTACAACTTGTTGCCTTCCAGAGGACTAATCACTGCCTTTTCCCCCCCAGGCTACGTCTGCACTCTGTCACCCAGGCTGGAGGTCAGTGGTGCAATCATGGCTCACAGCAGCCTCAACCTCCCAGGCTCAAGCCATCCTCCCACCCCAGTGTTCCAAGGAGCTGGGAACAAGCATGTGCCACCACGCCTAATTTTTTTAAATTTTTTGTAGAGATGGGGACTGCCTATGAGGCCCAGGCTGGTCTTGAACAATCCTCCCCTCTTAGCTTCCCAAAGTGCTGTGATTACAAGTGTGAGCCACCATGCCTGGCCAATGTGGGCCTATTTTCACCCATTATCCTGGGCATTTAATGAGTCATTTCAATCCAGAAACCCTTACCATCAGTTTCAGGTAATTTTCATAATTTAAAAAAATGTTTCAGCCGGGCGCGCTGGCTCACGCCTGTAATCCCAGCACTTTGGGAGGCTGAGGCAGGCAGATCACAAGGTTGGAAAATTGAGACCATCCTAACCAACGCAGTGAAACTTCATCTCTACTAAAAATACAAAAAATTAGCCGGGTGTGGTGGCGTGCCTGTAGTCCCAGCTACTCAAGAGGCTGAGGCATGAGAATCGCTTGAACCTGGAAGGTGGAGGCTGCAGTGAGCCAAGATTACGCCACTGCACTCCAGCCTGGGCGGCAGAGAGAGACGCCATCTAAAAAAAAAATTTTTAATTCCTTGACTCTGTTGTCCATTGTCCATTTTCTCTTCCTGCAATTCCCATTTACAGATGCTCAGCTTCTTAAATTGGTTCCCTAGTTTTGTTTTTGTTTTTGTGTTTTAGAGACGGGCTCTCGCTGTGTCACCCAGGCTGGAGTGCAGTGGCACAATCTCAGCTCACTGCAACCTCCACCTCCTGGGCTCAAGCCATTCTCCAGCCTCCACCTCCCGAGCACCTGGGATCACAGTCGCGCGCCACTACACCCAGCTCTTTTGTAGATGAGTTTTGCCATGTTGGCCAGGCTGCTCTTGAACTCCCGAGTTCAAAGCGATCCACCTACCTCAGCCTTCCAAAGTGCTGGGATGACAGGCGTGAGCCACCACATCCAGCCTCTAACTACTTCTCAATCTTTGTTTTTGTTCTACTTTCTAGATTCTCAACTTATTCTTGTAACAGTTCTACTGGCTTTCTTTCATATTTTTTTCTCCAATTTTTTTTTTTTTTTTTTTGAGATGAAGTCTCACTCTGCGTCCCAGGTTCAAGCAATTCTCCTGCCTCAGCCTCCTGAGTAGCTGGGATTACAGGCGCCTGCCACAACACCCAGCTAATTTTTGTATTTTTAGTAGAGACAGGGTTTCACCACGTTGGCCCAGGCTGGTCTCGAAATCCTGATCTCAGATGATCCACTTGCCTCGGCCTCCCGAAGTGCTGGGATTTCAGGCACGAGCCACTGCGCCCGGCCCCAAATATTATTTTATACGTATCTATCCTGCTACTCCATGGAATGCACTACCTCCTCTCATTCTCGGAATGTGTTAAAGATATTTAGATGTTTTCTTCTCCCTGTACAGACAGTTTGCTCCAAGTTGATTCTTCGGTTTTGACCTCTAGCTTTCATCTTAGGGGCTGGGTCATCTTCAGATGTTTGATGCTCCCCAGGATGGCTGCTACCTCCTTCTTGTTGTCTTTGCCCTTAAGGGTTAAAACACACACACACACACACACACACACACACACAAACCTTTTACTGCCCTTATAGTATGGTTTCAAAAAGAAACCATAAATGAACACACACATCTTAGCCCTCAAATTTTTCACTCACATTTTAGGCCACAGTGGTCGGCTTCTCCTTTCACTGAAACTGATCAGCTAATGTCAGTTGACCTTGAGAGTGCCGGTTAAACACCTGCCCACCCTTGTTTATTTGGTCTCTTTACTGCACTGGATGCTGAAGATCCCCTTTTCCTGGACTCCCCCTCTCTGGAGCTCAGTGGTGCTCCACCATGAGGCTCCTCTGGATCAGCTGTCGCTCTTCTTAAACCCTCTTCCTCTCTTCACCCCAAGCCTCGTGTCTGCCAGCTTTGCTTCTTAGACCTCTGCTCTTCTCATTCTCTATCCTCTCCCGGATTAACTCAGCGAAACCCTTCAAACTGCACTACCGCCCACACACCGACAACTCTGAAGTCCCCAGGTCCAGCCAGGCCCTTCGCTGCAGGGCAGATGTGTTCACCCAACAGCCTCCTGGACGGTTCCACTCAACATGCTGAAAAACAAACTAATCACCGCGTTTACACAAACCTGCTTTAGTTCCCATTTTCTGTCTCAATGAAGACGACCTCTACCCCTGAGTGTCCCTATCATGATCCCAGTACTCCAGAAATCCAACCGATTCTACCTTCTAAACATCAAGAGCAGGAGTTTCCAAACTTAGCACGCATGAGCACCACTTGTCAGGCTTGTTAGGTACCAACAGCTGGGCCTCAACCCTGGAGTTTCTGATCCTGCAGGCCTGATGTGGGGACTGGACATTTTTATTTCGAACAAGTTCCCAGGCGATATTGCCGCTGCTTGCTGGAACCACACTTTGAGAACCACCAATCCTCACATCCGTTCCCTCCTCACCAGGCCCCACAGGTGCTGTGGTCCAGCCCATCTGGGGTCATTTCTTGCTGAGATTATGATCCTGTTAGCCTTGTAATTTATCTGATCTTCTTAAAACATTATTATTAATTATTATTATTATATTATTTTGAGACAGGGTCTCGCTCTGTCACCCAGGCTGGAGTACAGTAAGCTGTAAGGTGACCACGGCTAGCAGCCTCAACCTTGAGCTCCAGCAGTCCTCCTGCCTTGGCTGGATTCAGTGCTGGGGCTACAGGCGTGAGCCACTGCTCCCGGCCAAAGTCTCAATTTTGATGCCCCAATTCCCACCCAAGACGTCACGTCTCGTACTCTGCTTCCTGTGTCGTGTGAACGGTGACAGTGCTGTAGGAAATAGTAAACTGGAAAAAGAGAAGGCTCAGAACGACAGTGCTGATACAGTCATCACACAGCGGTATGCCAGTGCTATGGTGCCTGTTTAATTGAAATCTTGTAATAAAAGTTTAAATACATAAAATGTTTTTTTTTTTTTTTTTATCAAAAGAACATCCCCCACTTCCCCGACCAGATACGTCTGGAGCGGAGGCAAGTGGAGACTGGCTGTCTGTAGGGAGTGGAGAAATGGCAGGTCCAGCTTGGGCTGGTGTCCTCTTCCTCAGAAAGTGCTGTGGGTGAACCCAGAGTCTCAGGGAGCGGGAGCCCCCTCGCTGGCTTTCTTCACGTGGGGTCCTCGGCAAGCTGCTCTGCACTGCGGAGAACGTGCGCCTTGGCCTCAGAAGACGAGGAAGAGCAGGGCCTCGTGCCGGGGCAGCACGATGTTCTCCACGGTGCGCTCCATGGCGCGCACCTGCTCCGGGGAGGCCGTCAGGAACGCCAGGGGCCCGATGCGCTGCTCCGCGCAGGAGTGGCACAGGTAGCCCCCCTTGTTTTCCTTCCTGTTGCTCTGTGGTGATGGACGAGAAAGAGAGCTAAGGAGAACGACCAAAGAACATGGATTTTCCAGCAAAAAGCATGGAGTTACCATCACAGCTGCCCAGGGACAATGCATTTGAATTCTGATGTTTTCAGAGGGGTGCACACCCTCAGAGTAACACCTCCCACAGCACCACCATCTAGGTGGCCTCGACACCCCCAAATTCCCTGAGCGCAGAATCAGCCATTTATCCAGTCGAGATAAACAACCAAGAAAAGCTGTGTTGGGACCCCAGGGAACAGCTCTCCCTCTAAGCGTGTGTCACAACCCAGCCTCCCAGACCTGTGGCTTCAGCACCGCCAGGTAACATCACGTGCCCTGACCTCTGACCCCGGGGCCGACCGCACACTTCTCATGCCTCTCGTATGAAAAGCCCCTAATAAAAGATCACACAGCTGTCTCTTATCTCCCCACCTACAACCCAGAGAAGCATAAAGTTCACAAGCAAAACACGCAAATGGCTGAATTAAGTTCCAGACAGCAGACATACATAGGTGATGGGCAGCTTCTTCATGGTGAGGACGGTGTCGACAGGGATGGCATTGTTGCACTGTCCCACACAGCAGCGCACCACGCCTGTTTTTAAGACGTTGCTTGTCAGCTCTGCTTGCAAGAAGTACTCCTGAGAAGGAAAGAGTGAGAAAGAGAATCATGGCGACACCTCCGCTACGGTCTGCTGGCAGCACGGTGAGAACCCTTCAGATGTGCTGTAAGTCCCAGAAAGAGAAAAACACCGACTGCCCTGTTCTCCCTTAGTTTCTCTAACTTTTCCCTGCCTCCAAAGCTATTGACAGTCCAACTGACAGTCTGATTGCTTTTTAAATATATATATATATATATATTTAACGGATAAACATGTAAAACTATTGCCTGTAATGACATTTCCAGAATATTTCTGGATTTTATTTTATGCTAAGGCATCCCCAGTTCAATCTTTAGAAAACTATTTGTATATTCACATTACAACCCAGGTAGGCAACACAGAGGACCTGAAGAAAACTTGCCCCAAACATCCCTGCACATTTCCACCGTCCCGTGTACTGGCTGTGCTAGTGAGCAAATGACACCCTCGCTAAGCCTGTCTTTATCCATAAATGCAGATGGCACGGTGCCAGCTAAAGGTGGCTGCTGAGGAGAAGACACCCCTCAATTCATGCAAGGCACTCATATCTGGCAGGAAAGGAGCACCCAGAGGAAGCGCTAGTGACCTCCTGGGCTGGAAACACCACAAGGACAGGGCACTGTCAGCTTCGCCGCTGCCCTGGGGGGCTGCACATCACCGGCTGATCCGCTAGCAGGACCGCACACATCTGCTGCCCAGCAAAGGACAGTTTCGTATTTTCTGGATTACGACCGGCTATTGATCTAATTATTCTACAATCTGTGTCCTACATTTTTATTTCTTTGGTCTTTACTCTTAGAGGGCCTGCCTACTAGGTATGAAAAAGAACCGAAAACCACCATGCAAACACTCAAGTTATGGCCAACAAGTACTAACAGCTGATGAAGTGAAATCATGTCTGAAGTCACAGATTTTGCGGAAGTCCCTTAGACTGTCATCTCAATTTCCTTCCCCAGGGACAGCCAGGACCATGAACCTGGCGAGGTGCCTCCAACCCACTGTGAAATAGCTTCTTGTTTACACACGTGTCCAAGGACACAGGCCTCCTTTTACAGGTGTCTATTTACATGAACGTTATACTTCTGGCTTCTTCCTCACCTAGTTGTTCTAAAATGCTGTAGGGGACTCAGTCACAGCACTCTCTTGTATTTTATTTGCCCATTCCCTTGCTGTGGTTACTCGGTTTTTTCCAAACTATTTCCAACAATGCAACAATGAACATCCTTGTACCCGACTCCCTGTCCACTCCAGAATTTTCTCCAGGGCTGAGCTCTCAAACCATTTTTGATGCAGTTACCATTATAATGCTATACACATATAATGCTATTCCACACATATGGAAGAAAAGTTTCACAAAACATGATTAACCTAACAGGCAGTGTTCTCTGATTTCTTTAGATTTTATGCCATTTCACTCTTTTTAAGCCTCTCATAACCCACTAGATTAACTGTTTTTATTTATATAAATTTAAGGGGTGGGGGTCACACCTGTAGTCCTAGCACTTTGGGAGAGTGAGGTAGGAGGATCACTTGAGCCCAGGAGTTCGAGACCAGCCTGGGCAATATGGCAAAACCCTGTCTCTACCAAAAATACAAAAATTAGCCAGGCATAGTGGTGCACACCTGTAGTCTCAGCTTCCGGGGAGGCTGAGGTTGCAGTGAGCTGAGATTGTGCCACCGCACTCCAGCCTGGGCAACAGAGCAAGACCCTATATCTAAACAAACAAAAAGAATCTAAGATTCTGTGAGACCAAGAAGCTGTCTTTGGCCAGACGTAGTGGCTCAAGCCTGTAATCTCAGCACTTTGGGAGGCTGAGGCGAACCGATCACTTGAGGTCAGAAGTTTGAGACCAGCCTGGTCAATATGGGTGAAACCCCATCTCTACTAAAAATACAAAAATTAGCCAGGCATGGTAGCGCACACCTGTAATCCCAGCTACTCTGAGGCTGAGGCCTGAGAATCACTTGAGCCTGGGAGGCGGTGAGCCGAGCAAGATGGCACTATTGCACTCCAGCCTAGGCTACAGAGGGAGACTGTCACAAAAAAAAAAAAAAAAAAAAAGTTGTCTTTGAAACATAACTTCATGTCACTTAACACCTCAACAATGTAATAATTTCCTTCACTTTCCCAAAACTCCTAAGAAACAAATGAACAAAACGGCTTCTGGTGATTCTATTAGCTGCATTTTCTAAGGGGGAGGGAGGGGTCAGAGAAAAAGAAGGTTGCCTTGTTTTTGGGAGATGAAGAGACATCATTCTAGGCAGCGCAGGAAGCAATGGCTCGCTTTTTATCTCCAAAACACCCCCACCCACGGCTTCACTATTTTCAACACGCTTTCCTAGCCCCTGAACTACTGCCCAACTCGGGATCTTCATTATCCCCATGGCCTTCCCTCCTGGACAGACTGAACTCGACACTTCTGAAACAGGATATCCCCAAATTTATTCACAGGCTGTGATCACCAACAACCAAAAAGGCCGGACACGGTGGCTTACGCCTGTAATCCCAACACTTTGGGATCCACCGAGGCAGGTGGATCACTTTAAGTCAGGAGTTCAAGACCAGCCTGGCCAACATGGTGAAACTTCGTGCAGTCTCTACCAAAACAAAACAAAACAAAACAAAACAAAACAAAAAAACAAAAAGAAATTAGCCAGGTATGGTGGTGCACACCTGTACTACCAGTTACTCGGGAGGCTGAGACAGGAGGACCACTTGAACCCCAGGAGGCAGAGGTTGCAGTGAGCCAAGATCACACCACTGCCCTCCAGCCTGGGCGACACAGTGAGACCCTGTTTTTTATTGTTGTTGGTTTGTTTGTTTTTAAAACAGCAGAGTGCCTCCACCTCTCACAAGGTCTTAAAGCCTTAAAAAATCTGTTCCCACAAATAAGCAGTTTTTCTGCGACTTCCTCACAGGACCCCTGAGGCCAGACAGCCCAGCCCAGCCTCAGTAACCAGGAAGTATTTCTCTAGATTCTGTATTCTTTTCTTCTATGGGGAAAACAAAATGTACACAGCAACCAACTGACAACCTTCCAATTAGCTTTAAAAAGTCTACTTCACTTTTTTTTGTTTTTTGAGACAGAGTCTCGCTTTGTTGCCCAGACTGGAGTGCATGGCACGATCTCAGCCTACTGCAACTTCTGCCTCCCGGGTTCAAGTGATTCTCCTGCCTCACCCTCCTGAGTAGCTGGGATTACAGGCATGTGCCACTACACCCAGCTAATTTTTGTATTTTTAATAGAGACAGGTTTTCACCATGTTGGTCAGGCTGGTCTTGAACTCCTGACATCAAGTGATCCGCCCTCCTAAGCATCCCAAAGTGCTGGGATTACAGGTGTGAGCTATTGCACTGGGCCTATTTCACTCTTATGCATACAACTGGTGGGACTCTAAAGTGGTAACAATCTCCAAGAAGAAATTGGCCATATCTAGAAAAGTCACACCTGGCCAGGTGCAGTGGCTCATCCCTGTAATCCTAGCACTTTGGGAGGCTGAGGCAGGGTGGATAACTTGAGCTCATGAGTTCAAGAGCAGCCTAGGCAACAGGCAAAATCCTGTCTCTACAAAAAAAATACAGAATTAGCCAGGTGTGGTGACACATGCCTATAGTCCCAGCTGCTCGGGAGGCTGAGGTGGGAGGATGGCTTGAGCCTGGGAGGCGGAGGTTGCAGTGAGCCAAGATTGTGCCGCCATACTCCAGCCTGGGTGACAGAGCCAGACCTTGTCTCAAAAACAAAACAAAACAACTGAAAAGTCACACTTGCATTTATCTTTATCCAGCAATTCCACTTCTAGAAATGCAAGCTGAAGATGCACTGGCAAAAACATAAATGACCTGTGCATAAGATTGTGCAATGCAGCATTATTAATGAAAGAAGAAGGCTGGAAGTGACCATGTCCATGAGCGAGGATGGCATAAATCACGGTGCGTCAACACAGAACACTACGCAGCTGACGAAAGGGCGAGAGAGCTCTGTGAGCTGATGAAGAGGGATTTCTTGATTTGGGTAGGACAACAAATAAAAGAATAAAAGGCCAAAAAATAAAAGAGTAAAAAATAAATAAAAGAGTGATTCCCATGAGTGCTTCTAAGTGACAAAGCAAAGTACACAACAGTGTATCTGAAATGCTACCCTTTGTGGAAAAGGAGAATACGAAAATACCTACAAATCTGCTAATACTTGCATAAAGAAACACCGAAGGATTAATCGCTAATTGTTGAAAATAACTACCAATGGTGGAGGCAGAGAACAGTCTGAAGTGAAGGAGGAGGTAATGAGACTTCTCTTAGCACAAAGTTTTGACTTTGTTTTGTTTTTTGTTTTTGTTTTTGTTTTTTTGAGACAGGGTCTCACTCTGTCACCCAGGCTGGAGTGCAGTGGCGCAGTCTCGGCTCACTGCAATCTCTGCCTCCTGGGTTCAAGCAATTCTCCCACCTCAGCCTCCCAAGTAGCTGGGGCTACAGGTGTGCACCACCACGACTAGCTAATTTTTCTGTATTTTTTGGTAGAGACAAGGTTTCGCCATGTTGGCCAGGCTGATCTCTAACTCCTGACTTCAAGTGATCTGCCTGCCTCAGCCCTGCAAAGTGCTGGGATTACAGGGGTGAGCCACCGTGCTCAGGCACAAGGTTTTGACTTTGAAAACATTAACAGGCCTTACACATCAAAAAAGATCATTAAATCAAAAAGAAGCAAAGCAATCTCTGTAGATATTATAAATAAAATACATTTCTAACTGCAAATTAAGTTGGTAATAAAACCACAAAAGCAAAAAGGACTTACTTTAAGTGACTTTAGAACATGATAAATAAATCATTAATGGAGAAATGGAGCTGTTAGGAAATCTTCGAGTCCAGTCAGTATTCCATTAATACTGGCATTATTTTGAAGATTATTTTTAAATACATGGAATAGTATCAATAAGTAATTAATAAATACTGTTAGGAACCAAGATTTCAGTGTTTGAGAAAAGATTCAAGTGTAAGAAAAGTAAAATTCCTTTTGTGTTAAATGTGAACTAGATTATGGAACACAATTCATGAGGGCTGAATGTGTGAAGGGCTAAAGCCTCTGATAATGCAGATACAGTGCAGTTTTTGAAACCCAGGAGAATCAAGAGAACATATGTAAAAAGTATCATTTTTCAGCACTTACTGATGGCAGTGCATACCTGGTTAAAAAATAAATAAAAAAGGTGCAGTTGTGCAACAAAGCAAGGTAGTGCCTATCTGTTGAGATGGCAGTTACCCTCAGAAAGGCGGGGAGGGGTGCTACGATGGCCAGGGGCCACCAGGATAGCTCTGTGATGGCTGAGAGAGCCCATCTTCTCATCTGGTGGATGCTCGCAACATCATCATTTTAAACTGCTTTATGCTGTTTTATATATTTGTGTTATATTTAACAACAAAATATTGAAATTTGCCTGGTGTCACACCTGTAATCCCAGAACTTTGGGAGGCTGAGGCGGGAGGATCACTTAAGCCCAGGAGTTCAAGACCAGCCTGGGCAACATAGTGAGACACTGTCTCTACAAAACAAAAGAACAAACAAACAAACAAACACCAGCCAGGTGTGATGGTGCACGTCTGTGTTCCCAGCTACTTTGGAGGCTGAGGTGGGAGGACTGCGCCTAAGCCCAGGAGGTTGAGGCTGTAGTGAGCCATGATCGTGCCACTGCACTAAAGCCTGGGCAACAGAGTGAGGCCCTGTCTCTTTCAAACAAATAAAGTTTAAAAACTGGAATCCAAACTGGGATTGGAATTATCAGTATGAATCACTGGTTTTTTTCTTTCTTTTCAAAAAGACACATTTCCTAGCTGTGCCTCTTCAAAAGATGAGCAATCAGCATCACTAACAGTGAAACACTAACCTGCTCCCGTGAGCCTCCTCATGTGGCGAGGCAAAGCACACAGCCCGCTCCGGCCTCCCACGGGGTATGCTGCCAGAGACGCAGGCTTGAATCTAATCAAGCCTCTACAGCTAACTTCCAGTTACTGGAAAGCCAGGACAGGCAATGGCAGAACAAGTTACACAACCACAGCAGGAAGCAAACTAAGAATGGGAACGCTCTATAGAACGAATGAGCCAGTTTCTGCAATGAGACAAGAGCATGGGAGAAGTGGGGAGGGAGTCCTGCACAGCTCTCTATTAAGTAACTTAAGAGACAAGCAATCAAATGTTGGTTTGGACTCTGACTTGAATAAATCAACTGTAAAAAAGCATTTCTGAGACAATCTTAAAAGCATAAGTATGGACTGGGTAGTAGAGGTCACATATTATAATATAAAATATGAAAATGGCACGGTAGTTATGGAAAAAAAAAGTACCTATTTCTTGGAGATGTGTACATATAGGTATATGTACATGAGTATTTGTATATGAGTGTTCAGTGTGTTGCTTTCTTTACTTTTTAATGTCTTAAAATTTTCATAAGCAAAAATGAAAAGTCCCGTGTAGCCCATGTTTGTGAGATGGTATCACTGCTCGGTAACACCCCGCACAGTTCTACCAATTGACAACGTGGTTTTGTTACAGGCCTGACCACTTCTGTAACACGACTTCCATGAGAAAACCATACTACAGGGTCTGAAAAAGCACTTATAAATCAAAGTTTATACAAAAATGTTTGTATAGGTAGAGATCATTTGTACATAATGATTTATTCTGCTTAACTCCTGGGGATACTGGTTTAGAGATTTTTTAAGGTCACACTTTTCTTTAAACCAGAGGTCAGCAAAGTACACATGGGCCACATCCAGACAATGCCCATTTCTGTGAATCCATTTTATTGGAACACAGCCACACTTGTTTGCTAATGTACTGTCAACAGGGACTCTCGCATTACAGCAGCGGGGCTGGGTAGCTGCAACAGAGATCATGTGACTTACAGAGCCTGAAATCTTTGCTGCCTGGCCCTTTGCAGAAAAGTCTACAGGCGATCCATGTGCCAGTAAAGATGCAACCAAAGAAAAAGGGCTTCAGTTCTAAGCTCTGACACTTCAGCTGTTGCACTCAGTGAAGCCCAGGTAAAAAGTTGCTTTGGGAAAAATGCATCAGATTTCAAATTCTGGAAACATTCCTATGGCCAAGTCAGTCTACCTAACAGAGGCCTGGAGGAAAAATGACAAAGGAGACATGAAAAATGTGATAAATATGCAAGCTAATCAGTTTTATGCAAGAAGCTTTTGCCCTCTGATGAGTCATTGTAGAGTATTTATTTGCAAAGCTTCTCCCTTTTAAGTTTTGATATTATCTTCCTCAAAAATGTGAAGAGAAATCCTATTTGTTCACTTTCTTGTCCGTCTCCCCACCTGGATGGGCTCTATGAGGGCAGGAATTTCCCTGCCCACTGTTATGCCCCAGTACCCAGAAAGGTGCTTGGCAAGTGTTAGGCCCTCAATAAATATTCCATTATGAGCATCAGGGATCTACTACACTTAACACCTCTGAGAGTTGAATATCATTTACTCAAAAGTGGTGACCGCCCACCCTGCCTGCACCCTGTGGTTCAACCCCAGAGCACGTAGGGCAGTACAGCATGGCTCACCCCATGACAGTAGGCAATATGGAACTGAGAATAAACCATCCTGCTACACACAATCTTTGTTTTGGAGACAGCTAAGCAAGAAAGAGTATTTATATTAACTTTTACACTTAAGTTTTAGGTTTCAGGCTTAAATATCTTGGGTTCAGGGAGAGATGGACTAAGTAGTAACTATTAGCTCAAATTTCTGTTCTAGTTTCTGACAGGGTTGAAAAGACTAAATGGTTTATACTCCAGCTGTTTAGGCAGAAAAAGAGATAAAAATAAGTAGAGTGTGAGAAGGTGGTTTGTGGGAAGGGTAAAGAGTGAGTGCTGACCAGCTCACTTTTCCACATGTCTGTGACAAAGGCCAGGTACCTGAACACTTACTCTCCCCGGCAAGGATGTGTTCTTCTGGAAAGTCTATTGGTAGCAGCAGCAGATGCCATTTCAAAACGGACTAAAGAGTGAGAGGGAGGAAGGCTGGGTGCACAAAACCTTCCTGGCATTTTTTCCCTATGAATATTGAGTCTAGGGGCCAAGCAAGGTGGCTAACACCTGGAACTCCAGCACTTTGGGAGGCTGAGGCAGGAGGATCACTTTAGCCAGGAGTTCGAGATCAGCCTGGGCAATATAGCAAGAACCCATCTCTAGAAAAAAAATTAAAAACTAGTCAGGTGTGGTGGTATGCGCCTGTAGTCCCAGTTACTCAGGAGGCTGAGGTAAGATAATCACTTAAGCCCAGGAGTTTGAGGAGGTTACAGTGAGTGATGACTGTGCCACTGCACTCCAGCCTGGGTGACACAGTGAGATCCTGTCTCAGACCAAAAAAAAAAAAAAAAAAAAAAGAACTAATTGAGTAAGGGAGAAATGAAGTAATACACGACCACTGCCGGTATCTTTTTTTTGAGACAGAGTCTCGCTCTGTCGCCCAGGTTAGAATGCAGTGATGCCATCTTGGCTCCCTGCAACCTCCGCCTCCCAGGTTCAAGTGATTCTCCTGCCTCAGCCTCCCGAGCAGCTGGAATTACAGATGCATGCCACCACACCTGGCTAATTTTTGTATTTTTAGTATAGATGGGGTTTCACCATGTTGGCCAGGCTGGTCTCAAACCCCTGACCTCAAGTGATCCGCCCGCCTCAGCCTCTCAAAGTGCTGGGATTACAGGCGTGAGCCACCGTGCCTGGCCCACTGCTGGTATCTTAAACAGAGCTTTTTAAACTGAATTAGGAAATGACTTAGAAAAGAACCACATTTTTGTTTCCTTGGTTAGAACACTTCTTATACTGGTCATCGGCCTTTGCACATGCAAGCAGCATTTCTCTTCCAACCCAGGATCCTGATCTGAAGGCCTCTGAAGGCTCCAGGTCAGCCCCTCATGCAGGCTAAATAACATTCAATGGCATCAAGTTAGCTCATGCTGCCCGTTCCGCTTACCCCAGCCAAAGTCAAAATGTTTTCCAATGATTTGGTCATGATGAGACGCTTCTTGGCTCGAGTTACTGCAACATACAGTAAATTCCATTCATCCTCAGAAAATGACTCTAAACAAAGTAAAGGGGAAAAAATTCAACTAAAAAGCCTTACAAAAGCTTACAAAACCTTATGTCTCATCTAAATGTTTACTAGCCCCCATCCATTCGCTGCAGAAAACCACTCAACACTTGTTGGCTGTAAATACAAAATTTTCCTACAAATGCCAGTTCCAAAAACAAACCAAATCCCAGCAGACGAGTGGCACAAAAGACTGGGTTTTATTTAGTCCTGCTACGTAAATCCTGGGAATGTGTTAATTGGTTATTCGACACCCGCAATGTGCCAGATGGCTGTTTACAGTCATTATGCCAGTTCTCACAAAAAGCCCATGAGACAGCTGGGGAAACCGAGGCTTAGACAGGTTAAGTCACTCCTACAAACAAGGCCTTGGCTAATCAAGGGCCTGGGAGCTGGACCGAGTCTGCTTGTCTCTTTCCATTTCCTTACACTGCCTCTGGACTGCCAGACTCCCATTTGGAAATGCCTGACACTGTCACGGGACAACAAGGAAGACACACAGGTGTGCTGTGTGTCTGTGCTGCCCAACTGCACCTCTCATCTCCCATCTCGATTCACCATACAATGGCAGGAACTCAACAAAGAGCAGCAGACCCAACGGCGTGCAAAAAGCTGCGAAATTGTACACTTTGGATGGGTGGGTTGTGTGGCATGTAAATTACATGTTCCCCAAAAAATTACATTTGTAAACATGTAAACCAGAAGGGCGAAAAAGGTGGTACTATAGTAAACTTCTCCATGGCCACCTCCCTTCCTCTCTCCACTCCAAATCATGTTCTATATTCGCCAGCAGTCACGAATGCTGTGGTTTCCATTTTCAGCATGCCAATGTGTGCTAGGCCCCAAATTTCCAACCTACAGTTAACAGACAGCTTTGTTTGTTTGTACATAAATTTCAAACGGTTTTATTCTAAGATTTAAAATCAAAGCAATAGCACTGATGCTCAGAGTACAAATTTATTACAAAGCAGCCTTGAGTACAAATTTATTACAAAGCAGACAAGGCCAGGCACGGTGGCTCACACCTATAATCCCAGCACTTTGGGAGGCCGAGGCGGGTGGATCACCTGAGGTCAGGAGATTCAGACCAGCCTGGCCAACATGGCGAAACCCCGTCTCTACTAAAAAACAAAAATTAGCCGGGCATGGTGGCACGCGCCTGTAGTCGCAACTACTCTGAGGCAGGAGAATTGCTTGAACCCGGAAGGTGGAGATTGCAGTGAGCTGAGATCGCACCACTGCGCTTCAGCCTGGGTGACAGAGTGAGACTCCATCTCAAAATAATAATAATAACAACAACAACAATAGCAACAACAACAACAAAGCAGACAAATGTCTGTGGTGGCTCATGCCTGCAATCCCAACACTTTGGGAGGCTGATGTGGGAGGATTGCTTGAGCCCAGGAGTTTGAGACCAGCCTGAGCAACATAGTGAGACCTCCGTCTGTACCAAAAAAACAGAAAACAAACAAAAAACAGACAAATGATAAAGAATGCTTACTACTTCTCCTTTTGTGACTTTCTTATCTCTTTAATAAATGAAGAGGAATTGACTAAAGGAATTACTTGGTAAGCAAGTAAACTATACGTTAAAGCTTTCATGAGGCTGGAGACTCAAAGTCTGATGGTGAAAAACCTGGAGCTGAGAGCAGCGCGGGGCTCACAGGTGGAGCCGAGAGCAGCGCGGGGCTCACAGGGCCACCACAAACATCATCACCCCACACGCAGCCCCCAGAGGGGTGCGCCTTGGGGAAGTTTTGTTTTTTAAAAAACCACAGTATAAGAATCAAAACTTTAAGACTAGGAGGTGTTTTGTGGTTTTGTTTTTCCAGAAGTGCCCTACCAGGAGGCCACAGCATCCAACAAACAACAAGGCAGTGAAAAGGAAGCACTGCAGTCACCACTCACTACAACAGCACCTGACACTACCCGGCCACCTCTTACCAACTCTGAAGTGGGGAAGCTGGGGCAGGTTATGCCGGGCACAAGGCACTTTCACAAAATCATCCAAAACATGCACAGTGTCAAACTCCAGGCCTTTGGCTTTGTGCACAGTGCCCAGAATGTACTCTAGGATAAAAACACAGCACACGTTAGACGGGGCTTCAAAGGCAAAGAAACGAGATGACAAAAACATACATGCTTCCCACTTGACTCTGAACTCGAACAGTTCTTGCCTAAGTGCAGTTTTGTGGGAAAAGGGGGAAAGAGGAAACAACTGTCGGGAACAGAAAAAAGAAAAAGACGAGGAGAGAAGTTGAAAATTAGTTGCAGGAGTTAGTGCCTCTCAGAATCACATCCCAGAGGCCAGCGTGGCTCTACCCATCCTCTGGATCTAACACACGAAGGGACGGAGCCCAGAAAAGGGCTGCATGGCTTGCCTGACATTACACGTGGCAGAGCTGGGACTAGAAAATCCCATTCTACGGGCTTGAAAGTAGAACAGAAATAAAGAGCCCCTGAGGAAGAACCAGAACCCTGCTCCCCTCTCCCTTAAGCAATAAAGCCATCTTTGCTCAAAGATATTTCACACAGGGAAGAAAACAGCAGAAGAGGCCAGGCGCGGTGGCTCACATCTGTAATTCCAGCACTTTGGGAGGTCGAGGTGGGTGGATTACCTGAGGTTGGGAGTTCGAGACCAGCCTGGCCAACATGGCGAGACTCCATCTCTACTAAAAATACAAAAACTAGCCGGGCGTGGTGGTAGGCGCCTGTAGTCCCAGCTCCTCAGGAGGCTGAGGCAGGAGAATTGCTTGAACCCAGGAGGGGGACACTGCAGTGAGCCAAGATCACGCCATTGCACTCCAGCCTGGGCAACAGAGCAAGACTCTGTCTCAAAACAAAAAAAACAGCAGCAGACTATCTGCTCCTCCTCTTAGGGGGAAGGTAAAAACCAACTGTTTCCCTTACCTGCAAAGTCCAAATCCTCTATATGGCATTTTTCTATCCTTTGCACCAGCTCTGGAATCCTGATATTATACTTTTCAACAACTGCGATCTTGGCTTCCAGCTCCTTGTCCTCAGCAGCGGTCACATACCTCTTGAAGCCACTAAAGCCTTCTTTGTGCACCCATCTTCTGATAAATCTGTCTTTAATGACGAGGTTTTCTAAGGAGAACACACGCACAGGTTAAGGTGACACAAGCTCCACTCACAGATGGTGGCAGGTGCTGCACGTTCCTAAGCAGCCGCACAAGAGCGGACGGTCTTAAAGTGGGGAGGCCCAGGTTCCAGGCCTGACTGCATCACTAACTCGCTGTGTGTCCCTGGGCAAGTCAGTGCAGTGCGGTGGCCTCTCCGTCTCCGACTGAGGAGCAAAACCCTGGGCTCAAGATCCTCACCTACTTCACAGGGATTTGAAATAGCGCAGTCAACAGGAAAAGAAAAGCGCTATAGAAATGTGTGACACTATCACTTGGGGCCCACGTGGAAGTGTACAACATATAAAGTGGCCCAGGCAGACAGAAAGATGCAGGGGAAGACAGCCTAGGGGACCAGTATTGGAAAGAGACTGAGGCTCCTGTGGGGAGGATCTGGAAAAGTCTGTCAGTACCTATGAAAACAGGAGGCCTGAGGCACCCCCCTCTTCATGGGAAGAGAGCTCTAGCTCTCCCTTCTCTGGAGGGAAACGAGTCCCTGACTCAGACCGGGCCTGCTTCTTTCTCGTCCCTGTCCCTTGGGTGCTTCCTTCCAATGCACCAAGGCCAGGCGGGTACTCACGTTTCCTCCGTTCTTCCTCTGGCTGAAGAAGGATCCAAATATCAATGATTCTGTCCAATCCAAATGATTTAATCCCCTGAAAAAGTTTTTTGGTGGGATTTTTGTTTTTTTGTTGTGTTTTGTTTTGCTTGTTGTTGCTTTAACAAAACAAAATAAAGCAAATACAGGGATGGGGTTTTGAAATGAGATGGTTTCTTGGAAATGGATCTTGAGTTACACCCAAAGCACAGGCGGCAAGCAGGAAACTTCATGAAGCAGAAAGTGCGAGGCTGCCACGTGGCCTGAACACTCCCAGGGACCACATTCTAAGATACCGCTGCTACCTGAAACTCTTCCTACTCTTTTTAAAAAGGCAAGATCTATAGCTGCACACTGCTTTTGCATCAATAAAAAGGCAAGTTAAGCACCTTCCAGGAACATGAGACGATTCTACAGAATACAAATGGTGCCTGAATACAAAGTGCTTGGCATGTACATTTACCACTGTTTCTTGTGAGAAAAGAACAACAGGCTGGGCACGGTGGCTCACACCTGTAATCCCCGCATTTTGGGAGGCTGAGATGGGTGGATTACTTGAGGCCAGGAGTTCAAGACCAGCCTGGCCAACATAGTGAAACCCGTCTCTACCAAAAATACAAAAATTAGCCAGGTGTGGTGGCAGACACCTATAGTCTTAGCTAGTCAGAAGGCCAAGGCACGAGAATCTCTCAAACTGGGAGGTGGAGGTTACAGCGAACCGAGATCCCACCGTCGCACTCTAGCCTGGGTGACAGAGCAAGACTCTGTCTCAAAAAAAAAGAAACTACAGAATGTCTCTGGGTCCAGATTCTTCTACATTTTAACAGGTCAGCTCCTGGAGGAGACAGCCTGACTGTGCCCTGTTTAGCCCAGATCTACGCTAAGCACTGGCTGGGCTCTGGCACTCACTCAGCACCAGGCCCCACACAGAAGACAGATACGACCAGGGCCTCACACTCCAAGGGCTTGACATCTTTTAGGGAGGGACACGTAAAACACTCACATAAAACAGCGGGCAGAATAACAGAGTTGACATTATAACCCACAATCAGATGTGTGGTCACGTGTAATGACACATGGTACAGGTGATAAGTGGATTTAAGAGAGGTAGAGAGAACCACTCGCTTTACATCATGCTAGTGTGGATGATATTCCAAAAATACTACTCTCTTACAACAATGACTATGGCTAAATTATGTTATTATTTACCAGACCAAATACTACAAGGTCATTAAAACAGTAATGAAGGAAAATATGCCTATGTGTTGAGTGAAAAACAGCATCCATTTCTAGGTACCCTATACTTGTAATTATGCAAAAATACACATCTATAAGGACAAAGACAAAAATAGCAAAAATGAGAACTATAATATGAAATACTGGGATTATGTGTTCTTTTTTAGGTTCCAAAATTTCTATACCATTGTTATATAGTCTTTATAAATAAAAAACTTAAAACATCTTTTGATTAGGATTCATTGCTATATTCATTGAGTGCCTAATGCATAGTAGGCTCTTGAAAACATTTCCATAAATGAATGAGGGAATATCTTTTTGTCATATAACTTTGCTTCAAGGTTAAAAATGCTGTAAACATGCCAATGAATCCTTCTAACTCCCTGTGAAACAGGTAAGGCAAGGCATTATTTTACCTCAGAGTGGAGAGAATGAGGCACACAGACGCTGTGACTTGCCCCCAGCCACACGCGGTTAGTGACCAGTCAGAACTAGAGCCTAGGTTTGTACTCCGCGTGTTGTCAGCTCAGCTGTTCTCACACTAACGACAACACACAACCAGAAAAGCTTCCAGTAACCCGCGGCCTCACTGGCATTGTCAAGGGAAGAAGGGCATTCATTGTTTAAAGAGTGGAAACTAAGGTCCCCAGCCCTTCTTGTGTCTGCCTTTCCAGGAATGTTTCACTGGCATAATCGGAATGGCCTGGGATACAGACCAGCCATGGTGCAGCCCGGTGGAAAGAGTCAAAAACCCAAATGCTTTCTTGCATGATAATTCCAATGAAGGTGAACATTTTCACTGGGTATATTCATCTACAACGTTTCTGTGCATGAAGTGGTCAACAGAAATGTACTCTTACCCCAATCAAATGTATCCTTGAAGGGACTTCCCCTTCCGTCACCCGTACGGCCTCATCAAACACGTTGGCGTTGGTCCGGGACAACAAGGCCACTTGCCCCTCTGCGTCACCTCTAATGCCACCTTGAGAGAGAGAGCACAAACTCTATGGCAAATCGAAATAAAGACGAAAACTTTTGTAACATAAAAGAGAAAAGTAACTCAAAGCCTTACTCTGATGGTTTCCTCCAACCAAAGTCTTTTTCCTGACTCTCTTGCAAACATCCAAGATAGTAGCTCCCACATAAGCTATTTCAACACCAAACCGAAAACTCTGGAAAACAGCAAGACAGAGGGAGTCAGAAGCCCGCCCTGCGGTGTGTCCGTGCGTTTCCATCACTGCCACCACAGCCCGGGCAGGCCAGACCTGACAAGTTATTCCTGACCCCCAACACAGAAAGCCAACTTCACAGGCTCACTTTCTAGGCCCTTCACAACCCAGCAGTCTTTATTTTCCATTATTCTCAACACAAATAGTAAAGTTTTCTTTTAAGCAAATCTACCCTTTTCTCCAAATCAAATCTAGTGAAGTCTAAAACATACAAAAGATTAAGATAGGGTAAGGAAGGCTTCTCCCCTTGCCTTTGAGATCCCTCTCCAGACTACCTTTAAAACCACTGCCCCGCACCAACCAGCCATGGCAGAAGCACTAGCACCTGCACACTGCCCACGCTGCCCTGCCTCAGCCCATGCTGCTTTCTGTCTGACTTTCATCTACCAAAGTCACTTCCTAACCTTCAAAACTCAGCCCAAGACCCTGCTTCCTTCGCCCCTCCAGCTGGCAAGATATCCTTCTTCCCCACACTCAGGGTGTGTATGGCCTGTTTTCATGCACACACAACTTCAGGTGCTTTGGTGAATAGCAAACGAAAACTAGACTTTAAACAAACACTACTTTGTTACTATAAAACTACTCTGAGTGAACCATAACTGAAATTATAACATAAATATCCATGAGTTCATATTTAGATAAATGATTGAATATTTAAATAGATGGGATAGAAGAAACAAATCTCCTTTGCAGAAAAATTCCAAATAATTTATGAAGATTCGTGGACACTTACTCCTTGAGCGTACAGAGACTTCCTTCCAAAGCATCCAGTAGGGAAAGGATGAAAAAAAAGAGGAACTCTACAGTGGAGAAACCTGACAAACACTACATCAGCCAGGTGGTCAAGGTCAACCTCAAGTCATGAGCCATGGTGACAGCATGCACCTCGACAGCATGTGATGAAAATGGAGCTTCACCTCTGTGGTCTTCCTCCCAGAACCCAGAACTCTAGCCTAACCATGAGAAAAGACATTAGACAAATCCCAGCACAGGGGCAGCCTACAAATGCCTAACTGGAACTTCTGGAAACTGTGAAAGTCACATGAGAAATAGGGAAAGTCTGAGCAACTGTGACAGCCAAGAAGAGCCTCATGACACATGGCTACATGTAATGTGGGATCCTGGATGGGATCCTGAAGTCACAAAAGACATTATTTCAAAACTAAGGAAATGCAAATGAACCATGGACTTCAGCCTATAATAATGTATCAATGTTGGTTCATTATCGTGACAAGTGTCCCACATTAATATAAGACGATAGGATGTTAGTAATGGGAAACTGAGTACAGGACATATGAGAACTCTCCTCTCGATTTTTCTGGAAATCTGAAACTATTCTAAAAAAGTATTGTCTATTAAAAGAACAAAACACCTCTGCACTGATGCTACCCTAAATCACCACAGCAGCAGGAGCTCAAGGGAAGAGTAACAGAGGCATCTACGGAACTTTCAATAACATCACAAAACACAGCACAGTTGATACTTTCATCCAAGTGAGACATCTCTTCTTTTTTTTTTTAAGAGACGGAGTCTCGCTCTGTCGCCCAGGGTGGAGTGCAGTGGCATGATCTCAGCTCACTGCAAGCTCCACCTCCCAGGTTCGCGCCATTCTCCTGCCTCAGTCTCTAGAGTAGCTGGGACTACAGGCGCCCGCCACAGCACCCAGCTAATTTTTTATATTTTTAGTAGAGACAGGGTTTCACCATGTTAGCCAGGATGGTCTCAATCTCCTGACCTCATGATCCGCCTGCCTCGGCCTCCCAAAGTGCTGGGATTACAGGCGTGAGCCACCATGCCCAGCCGAGACATCTCTTCTAAGTAGAAATGAGTTTTTTAAAAGCAGTGGTTCTCAAACTTCTGGTCTCAGGATGCTTCACAATTAAAAATCACACTTAAAAAGCCTCCAAAGAGCTTTTATTTACGTGAGCTCTATCTATCTATATTTACCATATTAGAAATTTTAATTCATGTAAAAATAATGATTCAAAACTATTTTTTTTTAAAGACAGAGTCTCACTGTGTCGCCCAGGCTGGAGTACAATGGTGCAATCTCGGCTCACTGCAACCTCCACCTCCTGGGATCAAGTGATTCTCCTGCCTCAGCCTCTCGAGTAGCTGACACTACAGGCGTGAGCCACCACGCCTGGCTAATTTTTGTATTTTTAGTAGAGACAGGGTTTTACCATGTTGGCCAGGCTGGTATTGAACTCCTGACCTCAAGTGATCTGTCCTTCTTGGCCTCCCAAAATGCTGGGATTATAGGCATAAGCCACCATGCCCAGCCAAAAGCCTCTTATGTGACGACATAAAGAACATATTTTTTGAAATATATTTCCCAGAACAAAGAAAAAATTCACCAAGAAGAATGGCACCATGTTCCATTTTTGCAAATCTCTTCAATGCCTGGCATAACAGAAGACTGCTGGCTTCCTGTGTTCACATCTGCATTGTCTGCTGTGATATGCTATCTTGGTTGACACACATGAAGAAAATTCAACCCCACGCAGACATGTGATTGGAAAGGAAGGAGCGCATAATAAACTTTTCGCATAATCGAGGGGACTGTGAGTTGTCATGTTCATTATGGGAGAGTTTGCCAAAATTTTAATTTCACTTGAAAGCAAAGATGTTATTTTTGACAACAAACACTGTCAGTTATTTTCCCTGAAGTCGCAGCTTGTTTCATTCGTCTTTGAAAAAGTGCCAAATACACAAGTCTGAACAACCAGCGCTGGTCTAACAACTGTTCTAAGTACAAACATACAAGGCGGCAGCAGCCGTCAGTTCACAGTTCAGCCGCAGCAGCTCTTCCTCAGATGACCGCTGTGCACGCACCTCTTATGAAAACAGTCTGACTTGGCAGACCCCGAGAACCACACTTTGAGAACCACTACTTAGAAGCAAGGATTTGCTAGCTCTGGTGAGCCTGGCCTACCACCTTGCACAGGGCCCAGCATGTGAGACACTGGGAGGGAGAAGAAATGGCTCCGATGCAGCGCGTGCACTCACCTGCGTGAGATAGAAGACGTGGGTGTGCGGCACTGTGAACAGGGCGTTGACCGCACCCCGGAAGGTATAGATCTGCTGGTGCGGGTCCCCTACAAAGATTTTCCCACATGGCTGAGACAGAACTATGTTCATGATAGCTGTAACCAATGAGAGGAAAAGTAAGAAACCTTGAGGCCTCCACCCCAGGCAGCAAAAAGAAGAGGACAAAACACTTCCGTGAAGCTAAGCCAGGGCACCCTGGACCTCAAGGTCGCCTTTTCCTGCAGGACAGCCACACTCCATCAAAAGCAGCTATTTTATGATGGACAAAAGAAACAGTTTCTGGTCCTAGGGATGCAGATTATGTTTCGCCCTGGATGAACTGTTGGAACCTAAGAAAACAACACAGGCAAATCTAAAATGAGGCAAGTTGTCTTTAATGTTACAGCACTCGAAATTGACCTACAAAGTCAGACTCATTAACACTGTCTGTTCTCTCTTAGCCACTTGAGAAACAAACAACACAAGCTTTTCCCTCTCAATGGACGATCTCTTCCCACTGAGCATGAGTCTATGTCCCTATCGTCTGCGGGTCTACAACTTGGTCAACATGGTAAGAACAACCTAAGTAAAACCTATGGTGACAGAGAAATCTGCTTGGGTGAGGGCAAGGGGCAGCTTGAAATCCTAAGGTGATTAAGAAGATCCTCTTCCTTATCACAAATAAGAACAATCAACTTAGTTCACACAGGTGTCCTCTTACATAATCATAGTGCTGTTTCTACGTATTTGAGACTACTGATGTCCTGAACAGCGTATCACCTGGTGTGCAGTCCTGGGCCTCATCCACAAAGATGGCGTCAAAAGAGGCCAGCAAAGGCTTACTCAGCTGCCAGAGTTTCAAGTAGCCTAAAATAAGGAGAGAGGCAGGAGTTGTAACTCCAGGAAGGCAGTCCCACTTGCCAGTCCCCGCCATCCGGCAGCTGCCTACCGTCATGAGTCATCTGGTACGCCTCTTCTGTGCACTCCCCCAGCTTCCGCATGTTATCCCAGAGGCGGCTTGCTTCAAGGACACCATTCTAGGAAGGAAGGTATATGGTAACCCAGAGTTTGAGACCCTGGCAAAGGCAGCACCCTGCAGTCACACTTTCAATTCCTATACAGCAGTGGAGCCAGGGCATCATCACAGAAGGGGGACCGCAGGCACCTCCCTAACCTCCTGGGTCTCCTCAACAGCCTCTCCACGCCACAGAGGGTCTCCAGTGCTGAGACAGGAAGCAGCCAGGCCATGCCACGCCCATGACAGGGCAGAGGTCACAACAGTTAGGTGAACCAGAAAAGGCCAAATTGTTTTTCTAGATTTATGACTGATTCTTAATTCATAAAAACAATGGCAAATGAAAAAGACTTGATAAAAATAAGAAACAGACTTTCCCACTAGCAAAATCTATTCCATAGAACCAATAACCCAAGAAAATCAGAAGAGAGATTCCAGCCTTCAGTTAAGATGAGACTTGAGGTCCAGAAACCCCAGTGACAAGCTCTTGTAAACTCAGGCAGGTCGTTCCATGTCTGCCTTCTCGTTAAATGGGAGGACTATTCTGAGGCTTAAGTGAGATGGTCACCAGTATCCTCCACAGGAGAAACTATCCAACAATTCACAGCCATCCCCATGGGCCCACAGCCTCACCCTCCCACCCTCAACCTCCTACGAATAGCTCTGAAGAAGTGAAAGAAGAAATAATGCTGTCCCATACTCCCTGTTTTCCCATCCTCAGATCCCAAACACTTCCCATTTCCCCCATCCTCAGATCCCGAACACTTCCCGTTCCCCATCTTCAGATCCCTAACACTTCCCGTTTCCCCCATCCTCAGATCCCTAACACTTCCCATTTCCCCCATCCTCAGATCCTACTTCCCGTTTCCCCCATCCTCAGATCCCTAACACTTCCCTGTTTCTCATCCTCAGATCCCTAACACTTTCCCTGCCCTAACACTTCCCGTTTCCCCCATCCTCAGATCCCTAACACTTCCCCTGTTTCTCATCCTCAGATCCCTAACACTTTCCCTGTTCCCCATCCTCAGATCCCTAATACTTCCCCTGTTTCCCCATCCTCAGATCCCTAACACTTCCCCTGTTCCCCATCCTCAGATCCCTAACACTTCCCCATTTCCCCCATCCTCAGATCCCTAACACTTCCCCTTTCCCCCATCCTCAGATCCCTAATACTTCCCCTGTTTCCCCATCCTCAGATCCCTAACACTTCCCCTGTTTCCCCATCCTCAGATCCCTAACACTTCCCCTGTTTCCCCATCCTCAGATCCCGGAATACTTCCCCTGTTCCCCATCCTCAGATCCCCAACACTTCCCCTGTTCCCCCATCCTCAGATCCCTAATACTTCCCATTTCCCCCATCCTCAGATCCCTAACACTTCCCATTTCCCCCATCATCAGATCCCTAACACTTCCCATTTCCCCCCTCCTCAGATCCCTAACACTTCCCATTTCCCCTCTCGTATCCTAACACTTCCTATTTCTATCATTGATCTCTAACACTTCCATTTCTCTCAGATCTCTAACACTTCTATTTCTCTCTCAGATCTCTAATACTTCTATTTCTATCTCTCAGATCTCAATATTTCTTTGTTTCTATCTCAGATCTTCTAACATTTCTGCTTTCATCTCAGATCTCTTGCAATACTTCTATTTAACTCAGATCTCTAATACTTCTGCTTCTATCTCAGATCTCTAACATTTCCTGCTTCTATCTCAGATTCCCTAATACTTTCTCCCTGCTTCTATCTCTTTTAGATCTCACATTTGCTTTCTATCTTCCCCTGTTTCCCCATCCTCAGATCCCGGAATACTTCCCCTGTTCTCCATCCTCAGATCCCCAACACTTCCCCTGTTCCCCCATCCTCAGATCCCTAATACTTCCCATTTCCCCCATCCTCAGATCCCTAACACTTCCCATTTCCCCCATCATCAGATCCCTAACACTTCCCATTTCCCCCCTCCTCAGATCCCTAACACTTCCCATTTCCCCCCTCCTCAGATCCCTAACACTTCCCATTTCCCCATCCTCAGATCCCTAATACTTCCCTTGTTTCCCCATCCTCAGATCCCTAACACTTCCCGTTTCCCCATCCTCAGATCCCTAACACTTCCCATTTCCCCCAACCTCAGATCCCTAACACTTCCCGTTTCCCCATCCTCAGATCCCCAACACTTCCCGTTTCCCCATCCTCAGATCCCCAACACTTCCCGTTTCCCCATCCTCAGATCCCTAACACTTTCCGTTTCCCCCATCCTCAGATCCCTAACACTTCCCGTTTTCCCCATCCTCAGATTCCTAACACTTCCCCTGTTTCCCATCCTCAGATCCCTAACACTTCCCGTTTCCCCCATCCTCAGATCCCTAACACTTCCCGTTTTCCCCATCCTCAGATCCCTAATACTTCCTCTGTTCCTCTATCCTCAGATCCCTAACACTTCCCGTTTCCCCATCCTCAGATCCCTAACACTTCATACACTTAGACACTCACCAGTTTTTCACTCTGCTCAACCATGACTCTCTGTCCTTGGCTGTTCTTACACCAAATAGGCACGTGATCTATGGTCAGCTCTTCGTCAGCGGAGGCAAAGAAGTTCTCCAGAGTCTTACACACGAGCTTGGCTCTTATGAATCCACCCTTCCCTTCAGCAAGGACGGAGTTGACCATGAAAGGTGTTAACTTGAAGAGATTCAACTTCTTCTTCGACTGGTACCTGCAATACCCATCCCCAATGAACAGCACGTGGCTCTCCTGGCTGGGTGCTATTTAACATCTCCTCCACTCTCTCTAACGTCACCAGGAGGTAGCTTCAAGTGCCACGCGCAGGCGAGACCAAATGCTTTAAAGCAAGAAAGTTCTGCATGGTCCTTTTCTGACTGGAAGCGGCTTTCAGGACTCCCATGTACCAACCCAGAAGAGGAACCAGCTTACAGCAGACACTGCTATTCCACCATGAAGCTGGGCTCCAGGAGGTCCCCAGAGGGACACTCGGAGTTCCCTGATGCCTCTACATCCAGGAGACCTGAGGCAAGTGTGCCTCGGCCAAGTCTTCCTCACTCCCTTCCAAGGAAAGCCTACAACTGATCAGGATTTGTGAGACTGAACTTTAAGCGAGTAATTCTGACTTTCTGTGCCTCAGTTCCATGACAACACCCCTCTCGGCAAGACAGCATTATATGTAAACAATATGTTGCTACAGGATAAAAGTACAAAAGACTAAACCTATATTTTTATTTCCTGCCTGTAAGTGGAGACAACAGCGCTACACTTCTCAGGGTCACTGTGGTGTAAGTTCACATGTAATCGTCAGGGGAAAACAGTAAGACGCGGCCGTGCCAGCAGCAACAGCGCCACTAGTGACAGCAGTACTCACTTCCGCCCTATGTGCCCGTAGGCCATGGAATGGAAGGTTTTGCAGATGACGTTGCTGGGGAAGACGCGTTCGGCCTGCTTTGCGATGCTCTTGTTGAACGTCACATACAGAAACCTGCTCTGAGACCACTTCTCTGCGTACTTGACCAGGGTTGAGGTCTTCCCAGTGCCTGGGGAAGCCAGGAGGAAAGGAGGTGACCCTCTGACCAGACAAGACATGCCCAGGGATCCCCAATCAGGCCTTGTCCAGGCTTATCACACCTCTGTCTTGACAGCAGGACAGTGACAAGTTTTTCAGTGCTGATAAAAGTAGTGCCACAAAAAGAGCAGCAGATTCGAAGCTGGGTGAAGGCGGGCTGGGATCTCAGCTCAGGTAGGCTCCAGCCTAGGGACAAAGGACAGGCGGACCCCTTGACCTCATGAGCTTCAGTTTGCTTCTCAGAAATAAGTGGGTATCCCTTAGAGGTAGGGTTCCTGAGGGCAAAAATGCCCCTCAGGACAGGAGGGGAGGGTTAGGGAGGGGAAAGCATGTCTCCGAAGAGAGGCAAGTCCAGCTTTGAATTCTGCCTCCACCACGAATCCACTTATTCAACCTGGGGCAAGGCTCTCTGTGCTTCAATTTCTTCCTCTATAAAATAAGAATAACTAAGCAACCTCACGGAATGCTATTAGGATCAGCACCATGCCAGGCACACTGCAGGCATTTCATACATTGTCGTTGTTGTTAGCAGGGTATTTAGCCACAAAAGGAGCAGGAAGGGATTACAGGTAGAAAAAAATAGCAAATAGCATGAGCAAAGGCTGTGATGAAAGAATAAGCAAGTACTTCAGGAGGCTGTAAGTGGATCGGTGTGGCTGACTGAGGCAGGATAATTGTAGATAATACATTTATGAATGTACGTTAAAACCGAATCCAAGGCAGACCCTCTAGACATCACCCCACAAAACTAGGGAGTTACTGAAACCCTGGGCTGGAGATTAACATGCCCTCCCTCTCCAGAAGCCGTCAGTGCCTCAGCAAACATCACAATGCTGGGCTCAATCCCGGGGGCATCTACCCCACCAACTAACTGCTGTGAACGACCCGTCAACAGGAATTCTACTGTGGATGTTCATTGAGTGGTCTGGGGAAGCGAGGATTCCTTGGTCAATTGCTTTTGAGATTGATTATTTGATCTGTTATCAAATGATTAGTTGGATGACATATCAGAGCAAAGATGCCCTGGCGGGTAGCGAGAAGGGGCTGTAGGGAGAAAAGGCGGAAAACCACCACCTGGGGAACCTGATGTGGGCTCCCTTACCTGCGAAGGCCATGATTTTCACCACCTGGAGAGGTTCCATCTTATGATTCAGAATCAGCTGTTGTTCATGTGTAAGTTGGATGGTTGTCTTGCTATAATCATTACAGAAGAGAAATGAGAAAAACAGAAAGACATGAAAAGTTCAGGGGATAGGCTGTCCAAAAACCAAACAGACAAATACGATATACAAAAGCTGACCAAAAAGAGGCCTCTCCTTACGGGAATAAAAATGTTCTAAAGCTAGATTATAATGCTGACGCACACTCAGGCAATATCACTGAATTACACTCTTAGGATGGGTGAATTTTACGCAATGCACATTATGCCTCAATGACGTTGCTAAAGTGAAGCGAAACATCTCCCTCCCTAAGTATAAGGAAGAGTCAAGGACAGAAGACAAAACACATGCTGACCGACATATACACATACCCTGGCCAGACAGATGGCTCCTCTTTAACTTTTGTGGCCTGAGTGCAGGAATTCTCCTGAAGATATAGGCAATAGAAAATGTTGTAGTGAATCCTACCAGAAAAAAAAGTAGATTTAGAAAGTTTCAAATTCAAGTCACAATCTGTATCTTATTTTTCCTCAGATGGATTTAAACTCCTTCCCATTTCTAAAAAGAAAATACCTACCACCATTTAATGGAAAAAAGAAAGAAAAGGATTTAAATATATCTATGGCTGGCAAAGCATTCTCAGATAACACAGTCCTGGGAAAGGTGTAGTTTCTATGTATATCACCAAGAGGAGGAAGAGACCAGGACAGGCTCTTCAGGGAATGACGGGCACCAGCGGTGACTTTAAGAGATAAACAACCAGAAAAGCTGTAAGGACCAGTGGAAGGCAAAGGGAAACACTGCTCCTGAGACTCTTGTTTGAATGATACTCACTATACCTGCGGATAAAAACACCAGCCTCTTTCTAAACCTCAGTGGCTCTGCTGTCTACTTCTTATGACATGACATTGCTTTAGAAGCATGAATGCATCCTATCTTTTAAGGTCCCAAGAAAAGGGACTACACTACGGATAACAAGATCTGATTACTAAGGACCTGAAAACAACAGCCTCCAAGTCACCAAGAGGGACCAAAGATGACAAAGTTCAATCAGCAGAGGCACAGGACATTGTCAGACTCGTCAGACTCAGCTGGCACATGCCATTCCAAAGCCTCTCCAAGTCTCCCCTTGACTGTGGGGGAGACCAGGGGGTGAGCCTGGACTCGCTCCCCCAACAATCGAGTGCACTGCTCCCCACCCCCAGAGCGAGAAGAGCCCGTCTCCAAGCCTCGACCTCTCCAATGCAACAAATACCTTTAATAATCCAACATTTCAGATGTGATTATATTATCTCCCAGGAAAAACAGGAAGACACATAGAAACGCAACAAAAATCAACATACATACTGCCATGGACTGAAAAGCGTCCCTTGAAAGTCCCGTGTTGAAGCGCTACCCCAATGTGGTGTGTGCAATAAGGAAGTAGTTAATGTCAGGTGAGAGTACAAGGGCAGGGCCCTGATCCAGAGGGATTAGGGTCCTCCTAAGAGGAGACACCAGAGTGTTCTCTCCACCCTGTGGGGATGCGGCAAGAAGGCAGCCATCAGCAAACTCTTGGACACTTCTGGGGAATCCTGTTCCCTCCTGGTACCTTGCCACTGATGCCTGGGCACCAGTCACTCCCCTGGTGCTACCAGCCACCTTCCTCTTAGGGCTTGCAACTTCCAGGGGCCAGTCTCCCTGGAGAAGGCATCCCCTCCCCCGCCCCACCCCCGACGGTTTCTGCTTCTCCAGGATGGCTGCACAGTCGAGCTACCTGTCCCCATCACTCCGACTCAGGGACAAGGCCCTCCCCAGCTGCCCAGCACAGCCTGAGTTTTAGTCTACATTTTTTTTTTTTTTTAGAGCCTCACTCTGTCGCTCAGGCTGGAGTACAGTGGAATGATCTCGTCTCACTGCAGGCTCTGCCTCCTGGGTTCAAGTGATTTTCGTGCCTTAGCCTCCCGAGTAACCGGGGAATAGAGACACGCACCACCAAAAATTTCCGGCTAATTTTTGTTTTTTGTTTTTTTTTTAAGACGGAGTCTCACTCTGTCGCCCAGGCTGGAGTGCAGTGGCCAGGATCTCGGCTCACTGCAAGCTCCGCCTCCTGGGTTTATGCCATTCTCCTGCCTCAGCCTCCCGAGTAGCTGGGACTCCAGGCGCCTGCCACGTCGCCCAGCTAGTTTTTTTTGTATTTTTTAGTAGAGACAGGGTTTCACCGTGTTAGCCAGGATGATCTCGATCTCCTGACCTCGTGATCCGCCCGCCTCGGCCTCCCAAAGTGCTGGGATTACAGGCTTGAGCCCAACGCGCCCGGCCTAATTTTTGTATTTTTAATAGAGATGGGGTTTCTCCTTGGTGGCCAGGCTGGTCTCCAGCTCCCGGCCTCAAGCGAACTGCCCACCTCGCCTCCCGAAGTGCTGGATTACAGGTGTGAGCCACCGAGCCTGGCTTTATTCTACCTTCTAATCCGGGCCTATAAGATCCCTCAACTGCTCCTGTCCGTCCTTCACAATCTTGTGTTCCCTCCCACCCTTGCCATACTGCACTTTTTCTCTTCCTCACATGTCCCAAGTTCATTCCCATCTTCAGGCCCTTAAGGCATCTACACCTTCTCCTAAACTGCTCTCCCCACAGTTGTGAAACGGCGGCTCCTCCTCCACACTCAGGTTTCACTCAGACACTACCTGCTCAGAGAAGCTTTTTCCACCCCTCTAAAGCAGCATTCCCCCCATAGCACTCTGTTCTAGTTTCTCTGCAGTGCTCATTACTCACTAAAATGCCTTTTCACACATTCACTTACACAGGACCTGATCTGCTCTAAGCTGTGGACCGGCTCGTGGACAACTATTGGACACGCACAGGTGTTCAGTGTTTGTCAGATGCACACGACTCCCCAGGCACTCCCCACCCTGCTGAGGAAACCATCAGGGCCCCTGTGAATCAGCAGCCCACACGCAACAGCCTCTCCCACGTGATAAGATGGACGAGTCTTCTCCATCCAAGTGGGAAACGGAGGAAGCAGAGCCTAACATTTTCCTAGGGAAGCGAGGCCACAGGTGAATAAGGAAGGCTTCTCTTGGCGAGGGGCTTCCCCTAAGGCTGCAGGACCCATGATTGTAAAATCGGCCTTGGTGGTATCTTGTAGCCACCTAGAACTGTACGTTCATAATGCGCTCTTACCAGCCTTTCCACATCAAACTCTCCAGCCCTGGCTCCTGCAGAAGATGACACTGAGGTGGAGCAGGGTGGGTCCCACAGCCTGCCAGCTGCTAATACTGCTAAGTGGCAGGGCTGGACCTGCTGCCGCATCTGGGACTCTCCCGTTATCAAAGCATCCCCTCCCCTCCTCCCGGGGCATTACCTATTGCTGATGTTAATCCCCTTCTCCCTCATGGCGTAGAGAAGCACGGCTATGCAGTACAGGGTCTCGGTGACATCTGGCATGGTCACCGTGGAGCTGGGTCTCCGGAGGCAGAAGAGCAGTTGCTGGATGTCATTCACACTGCTGGAGAGGAGCACCACAGCCGCCACCAGGGCCCAGACGTTGACACCCTGCAAGCCAGGTGCACAGGGAAGGAGGGACAGCCCAAACACAGGCCATGGTTAATACGAATCACAGCAGGAAGGAGCGGAGCTGGGGGTCCAGCTGCTGACTACAGACTGTCCGGATTGAATCCAAATTTTCCAAGTGGTATTTGGGAAACAGGGGAGCCCTTCCGTTCGCCCTGGACTCCTTCTCATCACTTTCGGATTTGAGATCTTAGTTTTCTTTAATTAAATAACATGGATGAAGTATCTAACATAGAACCTTGGATAGAGAGACAGTCTAAAAATATGAGCTCCCTGTCATCTCACCACCCTACTCTCCAGGCCACGGGGGCTCTCAGGCCCATAACGTTTGGCGGGGCCAGAGAAAAACAGCCAGCAGGGGGCGCCCACCCAAGAGGCAAGAGAGACGCAGACACAGAAGAGGGCTGCTCACAGGCTGTGGGGGAAATAAAGTCTGGCAATTCTCCAGCATGATGGTGTTAACTTGCTATTTATTATTAGTAATAACTTTTCATGGTAAGTTAAATAAATATGAAATTACGGAAAGTTTATTCTGTGAAGACAGCATGCTCCTCTTAGCAATGTCTCCATAAATGTTCACTTACACAGAAAGTTAATAGTGGACACAGGTTTTTTGTTCTTTTGAGATGAAGTCTCACTCTCACACAGGCTGGAGTGCAGTTGCACAATCTCAGCTCACTGCAACCTCTGCTTGCCAGGTTCAAGCAATTTTCTTGTCTCAGCCTCCAGAGTAGCCATGACTACAGGTACATGCCACCATGCTCGGCTAATTTTTTTATTTTTGGTAGAGACAGGGCTTCACCATGTTGGCCAGGCTGGTCTTGAACTCCTGACCTCAGGTGATCCACCCACCTTGGCCTCCCAAAGTGCTGGGATAACAGGTGTGAGCCACCACACCCAGCCTTTACCATTCCTAAGTTACTACATGTCTCTGTGTTAAAGAACACATTCCAAGAAAGGAATGTCCCATCCCCTCTCACTTCAACCATCCTATGAAAGAAGACCCACTCCACAACCATCAGCAATCATCTTCTTCAAGATAAAGAGAAATGCAGTTGCCTGGGTTCCCAGGGCTCTGTGGCCAGCAAAACACACGCAGAGGTTGCACGTAGCCTCGAAGATTAAATCTGGGAACCCCTGAACTGGAAGATGAGCAACAGGGCTGAGATTCAAGGAGACTGAGGGTTATTTCCAGCTTCTCATTACTTCATTGTGTGACTATAGCAAGACCCTTAATTTTTCTGTCCCTTTCAAATAAGCCAAGTTGTCAATAATGGGGTGGGCTGTCTTGTAAATAAATCCTATTATTAAAAGTGTTCAGAGGCTAGATGACCACTTTTCAGAAATATTTCAGAGAGGATTCCTCAACCAAATGGGAAATCAGACTAAATGATTTTTTTAAATTTCCTCTAAATCTAAGACTCTATAATTATATGGCCTTTTATTTCTCCATTGGGAACGATGACAACATGAATGCTTCAAAGCATTCAGAGATTAAATACAGATATTAAAAATAAATATAAAGTCGTCCTCAATTGAACCTTCCTCCAGTGAAATAAGATGCCGCCTTCTCCCGCAGCCTCCAGACCTACCCCGGCAGCAGCGTAGAGGTCAGGGAGGTGTTGCCGCACACACGCCTCAGCCTCGGCGAGGAGCGGGTGGTCCCTCAGACTCCACAGCACCCTCTCGGGATCCACACTCGGGGAGCACTTAGTGGTGGCCGTGTATCTGTAAGAGATTCATGGGAGAGGCCATGAGTAGGGAGACCATAAGCACTGATGTACAAGGAAGACTTCAAAGACGCCTTCCTTACAACAGGTGAAGCTCACCGTATGAGGTTCAGCACACACAGGTCTGACTCCTTTTCTATGCCACAGTTAGACAGGATGCCGTCCACTTTGCTGACAGCTTGCTCTTCGTTCATCAGGTATCGATGGTACAGCTTCTTCCACGGAATGAACTATGTAGTTAAAAAACAAAACAACATGAGGCAAAGGCCATTAGAAAGCAGATTAATGAGGTAGGCAGATCACCTGAGGTCAGAAGTTTGAGACCAGCCTGGCCAACATGGCGAAGCCCTGTCTTTACTGAAAAAACAATAGAAAAATTAGCCAGGCATGGTGGCACATGCCTGTAGTCCCAGCTACTCAGGAAGCTGAGGCAGGAGAATCACTTGAACCCGGGAGGCGGAGGTTACAGTAAGCCGGGATCAAGCCACTGCAGTGCACGTTAGCCTGGGTGACAGAGTAAGACTCCATCTCAGGAAAAAAAAAAAAAAGAAAGAAAAAAAAAAAAGCAGATTAAGCCACAAACACAGAGATAACCTTTTACCAATGAAAAGCAATCACAGCTCACAATTCAAAAGCCAGGCAAATCAGGCAGAAATGGTACAGACATTTTTACTGGAAACTAGGAGAACTGGGTCTTGATCTTGGTTCTAACACTAACTTGTTATAGTTATAGAATCTGGGAAAAGCTATAGCTTCAGTTTCCCTATCTGAAACATTAGTACACATAGCTCAGAGTTTCAATGAGAACAAAATAATATGAGAGCTGTGGCTATACCAATATCAGACAAAACAGATTGTAAGTCAATTTTGTCTGTTAAATACTGTTATAAGAGACAAAGGACATAACAACAAAAGGGTCAATTCACCAAGAAGGTACAATAACTATAAATATATATGCAGCAAACATTAGAGCTCCTAAATATAGGAAATAACCCCTGACAGAACCGAAGGTAGAAACAAACAGCAACACAATAACAGGAGATTTCAACACCGCCATTTCAATGATGAATGGAACAACCAGACAGAAGATAAATAAGGAAACAGAGGATCTGAACAACACTATGGACTAAGTGGGCTGAACAAACATATACAGAATACTCCACCTAACAACAGCAAAATATACGTTCCTCTCAAGGGCACTTGGAACATTCTCCAGGATAGATCACCTGTTAGGCCACGAAACAAGTTTCAACAAACTTAAAAACCACTGAAGTTATTATACAAAGTATCTTTTTAAATCACAATGGAATGTAACCAGAAATCAACAGCAGAAGGAAAACTGAAAAATCCACAAATACATGGAAATCAAACAACATACTCTTGGCCAGGCACGGTGGTTTATGCCTACAATCCCTGCACTTTGGGAGGCTAAGACAGGCGAATCACTTGAGGCCAGGAGTTTGAGACCATCCTGGACTACAAGGTGAAACCCCATCTCTCCTAAAAATACAAAAGTTAGCCGTGCATGGTGGCGCGTGTCTGTAATCCCAGCTGCTTGGGAGGCTGAGGCACAAGAATCACTTGAACTCAGGAGGTGGAGATTGAAGTGAGCCAAAATCAAGCCACTGCACTCCAGCCTGGGTGACAGAGACTCTGTCTCAAAACAAAACAGAAACAAACAAACAAAAAACCACATTCTTAAAACAACCAATGGGTCAAAGAAGAAATCACAAAGAAAATTAGAAAATATCTTGAGACAAATGAAAATGAAAACATAACATAGCAAAACTTATGAAACGCAATGAATGCTGTTGTGCTGTTTTAAGAGAGCGGTTTATAGCTATAAATGCTTACATTAAAACAAACAAACAAACAAACAAAAACGGGCTGGACGTAGTGGCTCACGCCTGTAATCCCAGCAGTTGGGAGGCTGATGGCAAGCAGATCACTTGAAGTTAGGAGTTTCAGAGACCAGCCTGGCCAACATGGTAAAACCCCGTCTCTACTGAAAATACAAAAATTAGCCAGGTGTGGTGGTGCACACCTGTAATCCCAGCTACTGGGGAGGCTGAGGCAGGAGAATCACTTGAACCCAGAAGGCAGAGGTTGCAGTGAGTCGAGATCGTGCCACTGCCCTTCAGCCTGGGCGACAGCAGGAAACTCTGTCTCAAAAAAAAAAGAAAAACACGAAGTCAAGGGAGATATGAGGAAGGAACCCTCCAGGTGGGCAGCGTGGGAGGATGAGAGCAACCCAGGGAGGGGAACGAATGTGCAGTCTGTGGTCAGGACACAGCAGATGAGCTGTAGATGGAACCCAGGGAAGCCGTGTTGAGTGGAAGTGAGCAAAGAGGCTGGAGTCATAGGGTGGGGCAGACACGGAAGGCCTTAAATGCCTCTAAGGAGTTTGAATGTCTTCTGAAGGCAAATGGAAACCATTTCTGAAAAGATCCTCTGATTAGAAGCATACATTAAGCAAAGTTACGTGCTTTTAGAGGAAACATCTCCCAACTCCAGCACTCACTCACCAGAGGGTCACTGATGATCTCCCTCCACAGGTGGCACACCAAGCTCAGGTTCCAATAGAGGTCTTCCACCGGGAGGAAGGCAAACACGTGCCTCAGGACCTCACTAGGCAGGCTACAAATGTGGCTTGGTGCTTCCTGGCAGGGCAAGGTCCCAAGAAGCCCATAGTATGAGTCAGGAATGGGATCAGGACCCACGTCCCCAGCATCTTGGTCGGTTTCTCCAGACTCCTCAGAGAGTCGAGACGTACTGTCCTCTGCTTCTTGCCTGGCCTCCCTAGGCCTTGTGCATGGCACAGTCAAATGGTGCCGCGGAGCTTTCTTAGAAACTCCATCCCACAGGCTGGTCCCGGTAGCCTGGTTACTCTCTTCCTCAGAGGACCGAGACCGCTTCCTGGAGGGCGGGGCAGACCCTGATGAGCCCAGCCATGCTTCTCCACTGCCTTCCTGAGGCAGTGCACAGCTGCTCTCTGCAGGAAAGATCATGTCACCCTCAGAGTCCTGACAGCTGTCCTGGCCAACAGAATTGCTTTTGGCCATGTCATTGGTGCACGGCCGCTTGCCTGCTAGGAAGAACTCAGGGATACATCTTTGACGTCCCTGACCTGTAGAGATAACCCAAACAGGATGGACAAGAAATGAACGATGACTGTTGACCTGCTATTAACCCAAATAAGACACACTAATTTTCAATTATCTATGTTAACAGAGGAAAGAGATAAAAACACATGTATGGGCCAGCTGATTATATAAATAACTAATTCAAACGATATTTATATTTGGCTCTATCATATAACCAGACACACATTTGCAAAGAGACAGAGACCAGTCTTCGCATGGTGTGATGGCCAACAATACTCCCTGCAGTAAATACAAGTACAGAGAAACAGGCTACGCAGGGAACATCTGAATGGACAGACAAAAAGGAGGTGACTGCTCACAACCACACCGCCACTCACAAAGTGCCCTGCTCCCACTCACGACAGAAAGCCTACATGTGCTTAAGCAGAAATTCACATGCTTGGGGTTATCAGGATTCTGAAAATCTCACTCTTCTCATTTGACAGTGCTAAAACTTTTATTTTTATTTCTTTTTTATTTATGTATTTATTTATTTTTGAGATGGAGTCTCGCTCTGCTGCCCAGGCTGGAGTGCAGTGGCATGATCTTGGCTCACTGCAACCTCCGCCTCCCAGGTTCAAGCTATTCTCCTGCCTCAGCCTCTCAAGTAGCTGGGACTACAGGCGTATGCCACCATGCCTGGCTAATTTTTGTATTTTAGTAGAGATGGAGTTTCGCCGTGTTGGCCAGGCTGGCCTAGAATTCCTGACCTCAAGTAACCCACTCGCCTTGGCCTCCCAAAGTGCTGGGATTACAGGTGTGAGCCACTGTGCCCAGCTTTTATTCATATTTCTTCCTGTGAAAGTGACACATTAATTTATTTTAAAATAAAAAGGCGGGACTCAGAATTCTCTTTATAGTATTAGAATGGTACCTAATCTCTTCTACATGTTTGTTCAGTGAGCATTTACTAAGCACCAGTGATTCTGAGACAAATGTAAAGTGAAAAATGGTTACATGTCCTGACCTCACAGATTTTTCAGGAACATAGGGAAGCCTAAATGGTGATTTCATACATCCCACAGCATTTTCAAACTCCTAAAAATAATTTTTAAATGCCAAAGAAGTAAACACCTTATCAATAATACATAGTTCCTTTCTAAATGGCTGTAACCAAAATACTCACTTTGGAAGAGAATGGACTGAAACTTGGTTTAGCCTTGAACAAAATTTATGAAAATGAAACAGATATTTTTCTGTATTAGTAAAAAATATATATATATATGTAAAACTGTTAACTCTTTCTTGGGCAATTTGATAGAAACCCAGAGTTTTCACATCACTATTACTATAGGTTAAATCCACATGATCAGGGTTAAATCCTAAAAATTTCTTTTTTAAAAAATATTATTATTATTATTTTAAATAGAGACGGGGTCTCACTATGTTGCCCAGGCTGATCTGGCACTTCTGGGCTCAAGCAATTCTCCCACTTCAACCTCCCAAAGTACTGGGATTACAAATAAGGCGTGAGCTACTGCTCCCAGCCAAATCCTGGTATCTTCCAATTGTTGAATCCAGTCACACCCACAGTCATTGAGACCTCACCACCTGGTCAGGGCCACCTCACAAGTCCTTGTCAGTAAAGAACTCAAAATAGAGAAGAAACAGACTTCTATACATGGAACAAACTCAGTATCAAACAGGATATAAGTAAGTTTCAAACTGCCTCATACAGTTGGTTATAGTAGCTCCCACAGCAGGAAACATACAATAGTTAAAGACAACCAGGCTGGGAGAGGTGGCTCGCACCTGTAATCCTGGCAGTTTGAGAGGCGGAAGCACCTGTAAGTCCCAGCTACTTGGGAGGCTGAGGTGACAGGCAGAGGCTGCAGTGAGCTGAAAAGGTGCCACTGCACTCCTGGATGACAGAGCAAGACCATGCCTCAAAAAAAAAAAAAAAAAAAAAAAAGGACAACCAGATAATATTTGAGTTGGATTCTGAAATTAGTTGTATCAAAGGGAAATAAGGCAATCTAGATTTATTAACTAAAGTGGGAATTCATTTGGTACCTAGGGGGGACATTCCAGTTGATTTAGCAGAGATAAAACCTGAAGTCAAGGAGCAGGGTTACTGTAGCAGTCCAGGTACTAGGTGACAAAGAGCTCAGGATGAAGGAACATTTTGGAGGAAAAATAATGACACATGGACCTAGTGACAGATTGGACAGAGAAGATGAACAAAGAGTCAACTAATCTCAATGTTTCTGGATTGGAATAGGAGTGACACTGGCCCATGTCTTCTATCACTTTACACAAGCTAATAGGATTCATTCCATCACACTTTTCCAGAGCTTTTAGGAACTATGATAATAGGATAGAATTTTCATGGAAAACTCAGCGGGGTGCGGTGGCTCACGCCTATAATCCCAGTACTTTGAGAGGCCGAGGCGGGTGGATCACCTGAGGTCAGGAGTTCGAGACCAGCCTGACCAACATGGAGAAACCCCGTCTCTACTAAAAAAAAAAACAAAATTAGCTGGAGATGGTGGCATGCACCTGTAATCCCAGCTAGCTACTCAGGAGGCTGAGGCAGGAGAATCACTTGAACCCAGGAGGCAGAGGTTGCAGTGAGTCGAGATTGCACCATTGCACTCCAGCCTGGGCAACAAGAGTGAAACTCCATCTCAAAAAAAAAAAAAAAAAAAAAAAATTTTTTTTCATGGAAAAGTCACAAATAATAAAGAAAGTGTCAAGCTATTGCATCAAGACTACAAAGTCACAGCAGCAACATTTACAAATACTTTTAAACTAGGAGATATTCAAAGGACCCACACACTACAGGTTTTGAAATGCAAGAGTTTTGGAGGAGACATACCCCTACTCCCTCTTTTTGTTCTGGGTTGAGGATAGAGACCATGGTTCGGATCTCTGTTTGTCCATCTCTGACCGAAGGGATGGGCCACAGCCAAGTGACTCCGAGCCAAATGCTGGCAGTCGATGGCAGTAAGATGCTTCCGCTTAAACCGTCTCACTGTTTCATACCAGCAGGTAGAAGAAAGGGGATATTCATTAGTTATCGCAGATTCTACAAGCTAGCCAACACATTATACTCATGTTTCTGTATAGTGACACAATTTTGTCAACACCCCAGCCAACCCTTCCCCCTTCCCCTTGCCCACCAACTTTGTCCTTTCCGTTTCTTAGCATTTTTCTTTCTTAGAATTGAAGAATCCTAAGTGACATTTTAAGATCTTAAGATTTTTTTTTCTACTTATACTTTCTAGAAGCTTTGGTCATGAAATGCTCATTTAAGAAAAAGTTGTGGCTGGGTGCACTGGCTCATGCCTGTAATCCCAGAACTTTGGGAGGCGGAGGTGGGTGGATCACTTGAGGCCAGGAGTTGGAGATCGGCCTGGCCAACGTGGCAAAACCCTCTCTCTACTAAAAATACAAAAATTAGCTGGGCCTTGTGGTGCAGGCCTGCAATGCTAGCTACTCAGGAGGCTGAGGCGAAACAGTAGCTTGAACCCAAGAGGTGGAGGTTGCAGTGAGCCAAGATCGCACCACTGCACTGCAATCTGGGCAACACAGCAAAAAAAGAAGTTGTCATTAGTGGATATACTGAGGTTTGGCATCTTTTCCTTAACTTTATCCAGGCCATTTATATTTTTTTTATAATAATCAAAAGTATTTAAGAATAGGCTATTTTTTTAATAACAAAAAACTTTTATAACTTTTTTTGTTAAATTGTTAAAATTTTTTAATTATAGTAAAAAGCACATAACATGAAAAGCACATAACTAGAAGCAAAACATCGTGATAATACAGGCTGCAATTTCCCTGAGAGAAGGACCAAAGGGTCTCATCTCTCAGCCCCCCAAGCACCTCGGTACTGAGAACAGACTTGAAAGGACAGCAGCGACTCCCCCAGCCCCAAATGCAAGAGAAGCCAATTCCTTTTCAGGACCTTCAGAGGAGAAAACCTCGTATCTTCCTGTAGCAAAACACTACAGCAGCAATTGCGTCTAGAATTTTGTTTCAACGGTACTGAGATACTTGGTTTTGTAGTACTCATCTTCTTTCAGGTAATTCTTGTCCATGTGTAACCAAGATTCTCCATGCTTCTGCATCTGTTACTGCATGTGGCATTAAACATGCAGTAACAGATGCAGAAGCCTCCTTATGGCATTAAACACTAAAATATAAAGATGTACTTCTTAAAAATAAAAATTAGGCCAGGTGCAGTGGCTCATGCCTGTAAGCCCAGCACTTTGAGAGGCCAAGGCAGGTGGTTCACTTGAGGTCTAGAGTTCACGACCAGACTGGCAACACGGTGAAACCCCATCTCTACTAATAATATAAAGATCAGCCAGGTGTGGTGGCAGGCACCTGTAACCCCACCTGTTCAGGAGGCTGAGGCCCAAGAATCACTTGAACCCGGGAGGTGGAGGTTGCAGTGACCCAAGATTGTGCCATTGCACTCCAGCCTGGACAACAGAGTAAAACCCTATCACAAAAAAAAAAAAAACCCCAAAAAAAAGAATTAAAGTTAGCCTTTATAGGAGATGGTCAAAAGAGAATAAAATCAGGTTCTATCAGTATCATATTTTCACAGGTCCTAAAAATACTCCACTAGGCTGGGCACAGTGTCTCACACCTGTAATCCCAGCACTTTGGGAGGCTGAGGTGGGTGGATCACGTGACGTCAGGAGTTCAAGACCAGGCTGGCCAACATAGTGAAACCCCATCTCTATTAAAAATAGAATAAATTAGCTGGGCATGGTGGCATGCGCCCAGGAGGCTGAGGCAGGAGAATCGCTTGAACGCGGAAGGCAGAGGTTGCAGTGAGCCGAGGTCATGCCATTGCACTCCAGCCAGGGCAACAAGAGCGAAACTCCATTTCAAAAAAAAAAGAATACTCCACCACTAAACTATGGTATCAAATGCCAGAATCTCACTCAACATTTCTTTTTTCTTTTTTTGAAACCGAGTCTCCCTCTGTTGCTTAGGCTAGAGTGCAATGACACAATCTTGGCTCACTGCAACCTTCACCTCTTAAGTTCAAGCGATCTTCTGGCCCCGGCTTCCCAAGTAGCTGGGACTACAGGCCCCCGCCACCACACCCAGCTAACTTTCGTATCTTTAGTAGACACAGGGTTTTACCATGTTGGCCAGGCTGGTCTCAAACTCCTGGCCTCAAGTGATCCGCCCACCTCGGCCTCCCAAAGTACTAAGATTACAGATGTGAGCCACCGTGCCCAGCTCAACATTTCCTTTAAGCTTGAAAATACATAAAACCAAGACCCCAGTGAGTTTAGTTGATATCGTTTACAATATTTTCTCATTATTCCTCCCTAGTTAATTCAGAAATCACACTTCCAAATTTCAGTTAACTTTTTCAAGGTTTAATAGCAGCTTTTTAAAAAAAAACTTCATATTTTAAGACTTTTCCAAAAAAATCAATTCAACACACAAAACCAGTTCTGCGAGCCCCTCAGAAAGGATGCTGGAGATCTTCTAACCACCTGACCTTAGAAGCTGGGTGCAACTCCACGAGCGTCAGGCCCCAGCACTCACAAACGCGCTCACTCTCACGAAGCAGCACAGCACAGCGCCGTGTGTGGGCGGAGGGCCTGGCAAGAGAGCTGGGCTGGCGCCCTCAGCTGGCCACTTGGTAGCTCTATGGCTTCAGGGCACCTCAGGTCTCTAAGTCTGATAGGTCTACGGCCATCCCACCCTGAACGTGCACGATCTCGTCTAAGTCTGAGAGGTGTCACCAGGAACAGATGAGAAAAAATGCTCAAAACTGTCTGTCAAATTATCCAACTGCAGGCACACAAACTTACCTGTTCCCTCTATTTAACGAGGTTTATGTGAGTAGCTTGCATAAGACGTTGAAATATCTTTCAAATTATAAAGATGCCGCCTAATGGCAAAGCAGAAAGTGTACTAGCAGCCCAATTACAGCCAATTCTGTATTACTGGAAACACCCTTCTAAACTAACCAGTAACATGGCTCGCTTATTATGGACAGAAAACCAAACACCCCTCCACTTTGATGGTTTTGTGCTGGTTTGTGCTGGTTCTGTAATGTTGCTGACCAGTTTATCTAGAGTAAAACAACAACAAATCGTCTTACTCACACAGTAACAAACTATGAATGTGAAGTGTTTCTACATTAAAAACTAAATTTGAAGTTTTCTACATTGGAAAGAAAACATAAAGTCTTATCGTTCTCTTTTTAAAAAATAAGACATGAAATTTTATTTCCTCTGTTCAAAACCCTTCGTATTACAAATATATCCCAAGGCCTATTTTGCCTGAATGGGGACCTCTGGGCATATCGGCAAAAGAAATACGGGACAGCAGCAACATGGCTTCTAGAACACCCGAAAATCCTGGGTGAGGTGTCCCCTACACGGTTCAACAGCAGGAGTGGCTGCAGGATTGCCGGCAGCAAATCCACAGGCCCTACAGATCCAAGAGAGTGGACTCATGCCTGCTTTTCTCTCTCCTCAAACAGTCCCAATTGCTTCAGAGCTGGTCAGTACGGTATCTATAATTAGAACTGGAGACACTATGCGTCCTGCTGAAGGGTAAGGAAAAAAGGAAAAAATAAAATAAAATAAATAACTGGAGACACTCACTAAAGAAAGTTACCAATAGTCAATATCTCACTTAACTAGGAGGTGAACATCTACTGCCAAACTGGCCTGGAGAGGAAAAGCTTTCATGGATAAAATCATGAAGGAAAAAAAGAAAAATCACAAAGCAGCAAGATCAACGTCAAACCACTCAAATCTGAGACCCGGGACCTCAGGCCAGCTGCAGGCCTGCTTAGCTGAATGGTGTGTCAGGTCCCAGAAGGCTTCTGAAAGTCAATGAAAAGGCACATAACCAGTGAGAAAATCAGGCTCAGTTGAAGGGTCTGACGCCCACCCAAATCTATGACGGCCTTCTACACTTGGCTTTTGGAAATAGCTACAAACAGAGGCTGGCAGATTTGTATAGAAGAGGTACTTACACATGCAGGGTGAACCCTGGAACGTTTTTCGTGAAGTATGTAGGAATGGCTTTATTGAAGCCTTCTGCAGCCACCTCACTGTAACAACAGTGCATTGATAATGACCATCAACTATATGGAGATGTCTCAATCAAATGCCTGAGAGTCAAAAAGACAGTACGCATGCCCCAAGGTAAGCAGCTAGCCCACCTTGTTCACTGCCGTAACTCTGTATGTAGACAGCGTGGAGCCAGACACATCATCTGTGCCATGGATTCAATGTTCATGTTCCTGAAAATTCACACACTGAAATCCTCACCCCCAAGGTGATGGCATGAAGAGGTGGGGCTCTGGGCCAGGCATGGTGGCTCACGCCTGTAATCCCAGCACTTTGAGAGGCCAAGGCAGGTGGATCACTTGAGGTCTAGAGTTCAAGACCAGCCTGGCAACAGGGTGAAACCCCATCTTTACTAAAAATATAAAAATTAGCCAGGTGTGGTGGCAGGCACCTGTAACCCCAGCTACTCAGGAGGCTGAGGCCCAAGAATCACTTGAACCTGGGAGGTGGAGGCTGCAGTGACCCAAGATTGTGCCACTGCACTCCAGCCTGGGCAATGGAGAGAGACTGTGTCTCAAAAAAAAAAAAAAAGTGGGATTCTAGGAAGTGATAAGGTCACGAGGGTGAAGTCCCCACAAACGGGATTAGTGCCCTTATAAGAGAGGTCCCAGAGAGCTCCCTTACTCCTGCCAACATATGAGGACACAAAGAGAAGGTGCCGTCTATGAACCAGGAAGCGGCCCTCACCAGACACCAAATCTGCTGGCACCTTGATCTTGGACTTCCAGCCTCCACATCTGTGAGAGACAGACTTCTGCTTATAAGCGGCCCAGTTATGGTATTTTGTTACACCAGCCTGAATGGACTGAGGCAGCACACGTTCTGTGAATACTGAGTGGGTCAAGGAGGGTGAGGAGCAGGGAGAAGAGTTCAGTTGGGAGGTCCAGGAGCCTATACTCTAATCCCTAGGCATATATTGTAGAACTGCTCCCACAGGGAGACCTCCCTGGTACCTCACAACAGACTGATGACAGAACATCAAAAATGTTCAGTCCCAAAAGGAACTGCTTTGGAAAAGGTAATATGAACAGGATAGATTTTTATTTATGTATTTATCTCAGAAAATACATCTGAATCCAAAATGCTTGTTGCAAAGATTAAGTGTTTGCAAAAATCCAACAAAGACACAGGAGTAACAGAAAGCTCTAATGGGAGTGTTGGAACACTGTGTTCTGCTTCGAGGGAGTTCCAGTATATTCCAGTATGTTCTGGCATGAAGTCACCCTGGGAGGAGTTAAGGTTCAGCCCTGGGGGAGGGGCGCTTAGACTGGCGATCTGGCCTCTGTGCACTAAGACGAGTAACCTATATCACATATTTGGAATGGCGTTACCAGCCATAGCTTGGCTGGGGGAAGAGCTGGTACTTTTATTGGATTTTTATTAACACTTTTATTGGATCCCCCACCCCTTGGACTTATTGGATATATGTATCAAAAATCACTTTACTGACGTCAGCTGGAGGTCAGGAAAACTAAACTGTATCTCTGGTCTCAGAGACAGGTGCTGTGATGCCCTGAACTGGGAGCCAGGAGCCCTGTGTCCACCTCCTGCGCAAGAGCCCTGTGTCCACCTCCTCTGCAATTGCAGGCATTACACTTAATGTTCCCTTAAAGCCCCTCCGAGGCTGTGGGGTGCAGGAGAAGACCCACACTTGGCAGGTATATTCATCGCCAAAGCCTTGCTTATGAAAATGAGGATTATAATAACCTGCCACGCTGAATTCAGAGAATGAGACAATATATATGTAAGTACTCGAGCCACTCACATTGAGGGTGACAACACCTATCTTTAAATCTATGTCAACACCTAGCAACAGAAGCGTCAGAAGAAATGTGTGACTACCATACCAATCTGAGTGTCTCCTAAAAGGCACATCAGTTTTGTTTTAACAGCATTAATGTTCTTGCTAAATGGTTAAAAATAAAACCAAAACACTACACTAGAATTCTAATCGCCCTTCTATTCTGTTCTTCCTAATATACCTTTTTAAAAAGCAGTTCAAAAATAATTTTATCAAAATAAAGATGCTCAAATGCTACTTCTTCCATAAAAATCCTCCTTCCCTGAGTCACCCAAAGCTCATGGTATGCCTCCCTCCCTACATAGCAAGTGCACTTTACACCTCCCATAAAGGGCATTTACTGTTAGAAGCTGCTTGTGATTCTTTAGGGAGTGAAGTTATCTGTTGTGAACAACCACAGATAAAGGGAAGCTGTGTCTAAACTAGGGGTTCTTGTGGGTGCAGAGATTAGAATCACTTATGGGGCTTTGCAAACTCTACAAGGCCCCCAGAGTTGTTGAAATTGTTCTCCCACACACCAAATTGGGCATCTGTGCCCCCACCCTTGGACACTGTCTTCCACAATTACCAACAGAAATGTGTTAGAGCCCTCAGGTGTCAGGCAGAAAAACCAGAATGTACACAAACCATTTTGTCAAACGAACACTCCCCAGGCTTCAGTAAGCTCATTCCCACACTGCCTTTTCTGTGACGGCTTTCTAACTGTGTGACTTCTCTGTCCTCCACCCCAGAGGTCCCCATTCTAGGACCCACCTCTTTGCTAACCCTCAGCTTTTAGCCCTACCTCAGCAATTCCTGGCCTTTGCTGACTTCGAAGTGGTCAGATGTGGAGTTTAGCCCTCCGCCACCCCTCAAATCTCTTCACCTTGACGACAGCCTATCCCCTTCCAGCCCACGCTGACCCACTCCACGCCCTGGTGAGGTCCCTGATGGAGAGGAGACCCTTCGCAGTCTCCCCTGAGTGAGTCCTTACAAGAACTCTACTACTGGGAACTAAAAGGAAGGGACCACGTCTATCGCCTCATCCCTCAAAGTGCACAAGTGGGAAACAAGAGACACTGCCGCACTCACGGAATGAGAACTGCGTGTCTGCCACTCCTCTCCTATGCTTTCATTTGCCTGGCTTTCTTTTAATCTTCTTTATTGAAAACAACTTACAAAACAAGTCACAGAAAGTGAAACTGAGTGTTTCAGGTTTTGCTGCAAAGAATGTTGTTGCTCTTCTCCCTGAGCACACAGCCAGGCTGTACTTCCCAGTCCTGTGTGCAGGTGGATGTTGCCTTACCGCCGGCTGCCAGCCAATGCAGTGGGAACAGCAGCAGTGCACACCTCTTCCAGACCTGCCCTTCACTCTTCTCCTCTTCCCCTTAACTGGGAAGCTGATTCCCAGGACATCCTTAGAAGCCGGGCGTTCGAAATAGAAGAGCCTCCAGCAGCCTCAATCCTCGGACTACTGCTTTAAAGAGAACCCTCCCCACACCTACACACACAAACTCCAACCACCACCATGACCTGCAGCCTCCTTAGATTGCTATGGGATTGAAAAATAAACTTCTACTGTGAGGCCATTACATGTCTGGATCTATTTGTTAATGCAGCAAAGCTTACCCTAACCATTCAGGATCATTTGAAATGGATACCAAATAATTTCCTTTCTTCCCCTACCTTTACTAGTCAGCATTCATATCAAAAGGTCCTTTAAAACTTATAGATTACAGACCTAAATGGACAAGATGAAGACAATAAGTACTTAGAATTCCTGGAAGGAAAAAATTGTTATTAAATAATTGCTTTTAAAAAAAATCAATTTGACTCTCTAGTACAAGATACCTGACTGGAGAAACTGCTATAATACCATACCCAACTTTAACAAATATCCACAGAGGGCAGTTTTGCCCTCTGGACAATTTCGGAGTCAGCTAACCACCCTGGTCAGTTTCCCATACGCCTCTTACTTTCAGGGTGCTCCGTGAAGATCAGCAAGTGGGCACTTGTCCTCTGGCATCTCCTGTGGAGATGGCCCAGGGGTCCTGCAATGTGGCCCATTATCACAATGACTCAGGCACTCCACAGGTCCAATGGCAGCCTGTGAAATGGGAATGGCCCAATTTCAACAGTTACCTGTGTTATCTCTCAACTCCAGCACCATAAAAGTATTCACTCAAGGCAGGAAGCACTTCGCAGGAATAAAACCACCCCACACATCCGAGATACTTGTAACAATTTTTTGGCTAAGTGTGCATTTAACATGTCTTATACAAATTATTGTTTTAATATAATTGCGATATATTACATTTTATATTAGTAACAATTATTTGTATAAGTCTGTATTTAATACATCTTCCATCCCAGACTAAAAGCTCTCTGTTCTAGTGGGAAGGAGTAGAGAGGTACTTACACCCAGCATGCAACATACATTGCTTCATAAATAATTGCTGATTAAACGAATAAATGCACAGCTGCAGCACTTCTTCTACAGTGTAGGCTGTCTTCCTTGGTTTTGAAGCTCTCCACTATCCGATAGCTCCTAAGTGCTTTACAGCTTTTGCAGTTCTTTCCTATATTCTCATTTGAGCCTCAAAGCAATCCTATAATTGTGCCATGATTAAACTGGGGCTCCGGGAGGACTCGCCTGAATTCACCTCGTAGCTCATGAGTGACGGCGCCAACGCAAGAACCCGGGTCTCCTGACTCCCCTAGTCCAGTGCACTTCCTACGGTGATATTCTTTTCTCTGCATCTAGAAACCTTGAAAGCAGCTTCTGAAAACCTCAAGTTTAATTTCCATATTACATTTTTTTAAAAATCATTGTGAAATGTCAGAACCAAAGAAATTGAAAAGTATTTGGAAAACATAACTATAAGGAAAATACCACTAAATGCCATAGACCTGAAATGGAAAAACTTCAAAATATTGTGTCCCCATTAGCTCTAAAAGAAACAAATACAGAAAGCAAGCAAAATAGAGCTCCAGCTCCTTTCCCGGGTATTCACTGACGCACAGCCAGGCTACCACAGCCTGCTTCTCCAGAAATCCACAAGTTCCCAGGTAGTAAGCTCAATCTCCCCGGGATCCTCTCACATCTGAGACACCTATGACTCCCTTGGAGACAGCACTCGTGTATGACAGCCAACAAGGATGGGCTGGGCTTTCCAGTCTATGTTTTTCCTAAGGAAAGGAAGGAATGTGTGAAAAACATGAGAAAGATCACTACGTATGGTCTAGAATATAATTTTATATATTTGAAGGGTTTTTTCTACAGTCAATTCATTCCACAACTACTTTTACGTATCTGCTATGTCTCAGATTCATTATAAACTCCGTGAGGGCTTTGTCTTGTGGTATCCTTGGTGTTAAGTGCTATTTTAGACATTAGTGATACAAAACTGAATAAGCCTACCCATCAGGCGGCTACCAAAACAAACACAAGTTACTAAACATCAAGCAATCTAACAACCACATAAATGCATGCATGAAGTGCTGTGATAGTAAAGAAATGTAAACAGAGCTAGGCAAGTTGGAAAAGGCTTTATGAAGAGTTGAGCCTGAAAGAACTGTGGGATTCAGTAAGGCGGAAGAAAACAACGTGTGCAAAAATACAGGCACGTGGCAGGAAAGCCGGGCTTCATCAAAACAAGAGGTTCCCTGATGAGGAACGACAGGAGACAAGGCTGGAAAAGGAATTTGGAGCCACAGACTACAGAAGTCCTTACACATAATGATAAAGAAACTGGGCTTCAAAAAAAGAAACTGGACTTTATCCGGTAGGAGCTTCAAGATATCACCCAATTATTATTACTATTATTATTATTTTGAGACGGAGGCTCACTCTGTCTGTGGTCCAGGCTGGGGTGCAGTGGCACAATCTCCACTTGCTGCAACCTCTGCCTCTCAGGTTCAACTGATTCTCCTGCTTCAGCCTCCCAAGTAGCTGCAACTACAGGTGCACGCCGCCACACCCGGCTAATTTTCTCTATTTTAGTAGTAGAGATAGGGGTTCACCGTGTTGCCCAGGCTGGTCTAGAACTCCTGAGCTCAGGGATTCCACCCGCCTTGGCCTCCCAAAGTGGTAGGATTACAGGCGTGAGCCACCACACCCGGCCTCATCCAATTTTTAAAGCAGGGTCATTACACAATCGAATTTACACTTTAGGGCAGTGACTCGGGAAAGAGGATAGAAGGTGGAGAGGCATGGAGATTGCCAGGAAAACAAGTCAGAAAGCCCCCATACCAACCTCTATGAGAGCTGGCAAAGGCCTGAGAGCAGCAGACCCTGGGCAGAGGAGAGGTGAGTAAGAACATAGCTTTGTTTGACAAGACTGAAAGAGAAACATAAAAGATAAAAAGCAACAAGGATAACTGGCATTTCTAGTAGAACGTTAAAAAAGATGTTAATGTCATTAACCATGTTAAGGACTAAAAGACAAACAGTGTTTGTGTTTTAATCACTTTTTCCCCCCGGAGTGAGAGGGAGGCCGAAAGTCCCAGTTTTAAAAATAATTTTTTAAGTTATCTGTGGAATACCATGTTTATGCTCCAGGAGGTCCTCTGAAATCTGAGACTGGTCTTCAAAAGGCATGTGAATGACAGTTACAGATACAAGATTTGAGAGGCTTTCTAAAAGTAGGTAATTTCACAGCCAGAAAGGCAAAGACAGAATCCAAATTCAGTTTCCAAATAAAATCAGCCTACGAGGGATAGAGGAATGAGACAAGCAGAGAAACGATGATGGCAACAAACCCAAAATTGGAATTCTAAATCTAATACCAATAGTGGTATCCACACACACTCACAAATCAGGAAACCTGTCAAATGATCAGTGTACCGATGGGCATGCTGAATAGCATACTCATGAAAAACAACAGGAGGAAAACGAAAGAGAGCCAGGGAGCAAGTCAGTGCCAATGACCATTATGTGTGTTGTGACAGTAAAGGCCAGACCACAACCTCCAAAAGTCTGCACAAAAGAAATGAGCAGCCCAACCGGAAAACAGCAAGACCCAGGAAACAGCTCCATCCATTAGCTTACTGTTCAGACCCCACCCCTCTAGACCAAGCTTTGGCCCCAGAAAATTACAGGAGTTGCGGGACAGATTCACATACATTATCATTTAGTTATCCAAAGGGGGATACAGACCAAAATAAGTTCATAGAGAAGACAGAAGAGGCAAACTGAATGTGCAACACCAATGAAGTAACCAATTATCCTGGGTTCAAATATTCCAACCTAGCCAGGCATGGTGGCTCACATCTGTAATCCCAGCATTTGGTAGACTGAGCTGGGTGAATCACTTGAGGCCAGGAGTTTAAAGAAGACCAGCCTGGCCAACATGGTGAAAACCCGTCTCTACTAAAAACACAAAAAAATCAGCCAAGCATGGTGGCACACGCCTGTAATCTCAGCTACTTGGGAGGTTAAGGCAGGAGAATCACTTGAACCCAGGAGGCGGAGGTTGCAGTAAGCCGAGATCGTGTCACTGCACTCCAGCATGAGCAACAGAGCAAGACTCTGTCTCAAAAAAATATATATATATTCCAACCTATTGTGAACCCATGTGTCTCAACTATGTTTAAAAAACAGGGAAACTAGAGACATAATGCAAGAGAAGATAGAGTCATCTGAAACTAGGAGGGTGGTGGGGTAAAAGCAAAAAGTATGAAACTACCAGATGCCTCAACTTCCAATTTGCACTAACTTCAACGGCAGCAGTCAGAACCTTGCTTGGCACGCCCTACACTTTTGTGCATTTCAAACAACTTTTATGCCTTTTTCTTTTTTTTTTTTTATTTTTTTGAGTGACAAGGCACGATAGAACAATAACCTCAGCAAAGCTGACACTTGGACTAGTTCCGTCTCCAGCGGCTTATCCGCATCACTGTTACCTTAACGAAACTCAATCTGCTCAGGAGTAAAACGGCCTTATCTTCATGGTCCCGTTCCAGAAGTCTTTTCATTTATCTCCGCTCATTTTACCACAGGGGCAGACGCTGGCGGACACTCACCACACGCTACCATCCTGCCTTCCAGAAGACTTTATTACCTATCATTCTGTAAGAAAGTCACTGACTTCGTTAGGCCTCCACTTCCCCACCTGTAAAACCCTACTGATGCCTTACAGGGTTGTCTTTGGACCACAAAGTGCAATAAAAAACGTACATGGTTCCTCTCGTTTTTAGGCCTGGCAAATAGGAGCGACTCCCATTCTACTCCCTAAAGGAACTGAAAACACGGAGAGGTTAAGTGACTGGCACCTAATCAGATCGGGTAAGGAACCCAATACCTACGGATCTCTTCCATCAGCCACAGCCTCCCCAGCTCTCGCCGTGCCCTCCACCAGCGCCAGACCTCCCACATCGCCTTAGGCTTCCCATGCTCAGGTGAGGGACAGAGAGGCTACCGATGACACAGGGGCAGAGGGCAGCGAAAAATGACTTGCCCAAGGTCAAAACGTCACAGTAGACGGGAAAGCTGGCCTGCCAGCAGCCGAGGCCACGTCCTCGCGCGTGCCCCTCCAACCCCGAGGACCCACACGCTGAGCCTTCCTGGCCTTGGGGGGCAGCGCGGGGGCCGCTCCCGAACGAGCTCAGTGAGCGCCCTGGCCTCCCCCACGCACCCTCGCCGTGCCCTCCACCTGCCCACGGCCCGGGTGGCAGAGCCCCCAAGCCCGCGCTTGCCCGAGCCCAGCCTCGCGCCCCCCGGACCCCCGCTGCCCCACCCCGGGCCCGGACCCCCAGCGCAGGACACCGAAGGTTAAGTTTTCCACACGACGGAGCCCCTCCCACACTCCCTGCCACGTCTGCTGCCTCACGCACTGTGGCGCTCCGGACCCGGGCCCCGCCACCGCCGCCGCCGCCGCCGGGCCCGCGCCGCCGGCCGCCTAGCCCAGAGTCCCCCAGCAGCTAGCTCCTCCTCTGGCCGGGACCTGGAACCCGAGACGCCCGCCGACTTCCTCCGCGAGCTCCGCCCCGCCGCAGCCCCGGGAAGCGCCCGCCGCCGGAGCCAGACAGACGGCCATTGTGACCAATCGGGACACGAAACCGGAGGGGGCGTGCTGACGGACGGCCCCTAAGGCCAATCGAAATGCGCGATCGATGGGGGCGCGGCCACTGATACCGGGCCACGCCCCATCTGCGCTTCCGCTCGGGCCGGGGCGGAGCGGGGAAACTTTCCCAGAGTTCCTTCGAGCTGCCCGGGTTCCCGCGGAGTGGCGGCTGTCGAAGGGCGGGGACTGGGGCGGAGCGCAGGAACGCTGGTCCCCAGCGGCTGGAGGCTAGGGCGGCCCTGAGGACGCGCGTGGGGCAGGTCACGCTTGGCCCGGCTGCCTCAGGAGCCACCCTGCCCGGCGCGGGGCGAGGCTGTGCGCGCCCTGCCGGACCCTCCGCTTCGGGTCTTTGCGGTGTAACGGCGCGTCCCATTCCCTCAAGTGTTCAGTCCTGAATCGGCCCCGGCAGCTCCAGGACGGCGGACTCGAGTGCTCTCGGATCCCCAGGCCCCTCCGCGCTCACCCTGGACCGCCCCGTCCCTGAAGAAAAACCGCCCGGTGCCCAGGACCGCGGCTTCTCCCATGCGGGGCAGGCCGGGGGTGTGAGGGGGCAGCCGGCCTGCGGACTAGGCCGGGGGCGTGAGGAGGCAGGTCTGCCGGGGACAAGGCCGGGGGCGTGAGAGGCGGTTCTGCCGGGTCCGGGGCGCGCGGGGCAGGTTGCGCGAAGAGGCGGAAAGTCCCACTCGCCCACGGCCTCTCGCTGCCCGGCCGCCGGTGTCCCGCACAGCCTGGCCCGACCCGCGGCGATGGCCCAGCCTGGGGACCCGCGGCGCCTCTACAGGCTGGTGCAGGAGGGCCGGCTGCGCGCCCTGCAGGAGGAGCTGCAGGCGGCCGGGGGCTGCCCGGGGCCGGCCGGGGAGACCCTCCTGCACTGCGCCGCGCGCCACGGGCATCGGGACGTCCTGGCCTATCTGACCGAGGCCTGGGGCATGGACATCGAGGCCACCAATCGAGACTACAAGCGGCCTCTGCACGAGGCGGCCTCCATGGGCCACCGAGACTGCGTGCGCTACCTGCTGGGCCGGGGGGCAGCGGTCGACTGCCTGAAGAAGGCCGACTGGTAGGTGTGGAGACACCCAGCCTCGTCTCTACCCGCAGAGTCGTAGCGAGTTCCTTGTGCTTCTCCATCCCCTCGGACACCATAGCTGTTTTCAGCTCCTAGTCTCACCCCAGGCCTGCCCAGCGGCAGGGACCTTCTGCCCAACTTTCCCTTAAAACGCAGTTGACCTGCAGAGTCTGTCGTTCTTGCCCTTGTTGGTTAACTGACCCGGCCAGTCACCTCCCTTTCTAGAGCACAGAATAATGTAGAATGTAACCAAACAATGAAGTGTGTGCACTATACAGCTAGCTCCTGGATGCGACGTTCTGGAGACATTTAGCTCAGTTACTTCTGCATCGATGCATGGTTTCAGTTGACATTGCTCCAATCAATATCCAGAATTCCTGAGTTATTCACGCACTTGTGTGTGTAGAGCACTGTGCAGCTGCATCACATACGTGCAGCCTTGGATAACCACCACAGTCAAACCACACCATCACACAAGCCAATTGCATTTCGTTTGTTAGATTGACGCTGATTTCAGTACTCACTGGGTCAGGTTCGTTAGAGGGTGTGAACCTCTTCAGGAACATGGGGAAGTACGTCTTCCCCACTGGGGCAGGGGAATAGACCCGGTTGTTTTGAGAGTTGTCTGTGGGTTTTCTTAGCTCTGCCCCAATTCACTGCTCTCCTGTGAACTAGCTCATAAGCAGCTTTGTCTCCCAGGCACCCTCTCCTCTAGGTACACATTCGTTACAATCATTTTCCCCT